TAGCTCTAGCCAGTGTAGTTAGGTAAGAAAAATAAAAGGTTTTCAAATGAGAAGAGAAAATGTAAAAACCGCCTCTCTTTTCCAGATAACATGATAATATTCATAAAAGCCCTAAAGATTCCACCAGATAATTGTTAGAACTGAATAAATTCTGTAGAGCTGTACTATGTAAATTCAATATACAAAAATCAATTGCATTTCTGTAATTACTAGAAATTAAAACAATCCTATTTGCAACTGCACCAAAAAATACTCATGGGATATTAACCAAGGAGGTGAATGTTGTATACTTAAAAATATGAGACTTTGATAATGGAAAAAGTTGACGACACAGGTAAATGGAAAGCTGTTCTGTGGCTTTGGAAGAATTAATGTCGTTAAAATGTTAATTCTACCCAAAATATTCTACAGATTTGGTGCATTTTCTACCAATATTCCAATGGCATTTTTCACAGACATATAACAAAACAGTCCTAAAATTTGGAATCTCAAAAGATCCCAATGGATAAAGCAATCTTGAAAAAGAAAAACAAAGATGGAGGCATCATGCTCCCTGATTTCAAACTATATTATCAAAACAGTATGATATTAGCACAAAGCAGATACACAGATCAGTGGAGCACAGTAAAGAGCCCAGAAATAACCTACACATGTGGTCAGTTGACCACAGTAGAGGCAAGAATGTACAGTGTGGAACAGAGAGTCACTCTTCAGTAAATCGTCTTGGGAAAACTGGAAAGCCATTTTGTAAAAGAATGAAACTGGGCCACTGTCTTACACAATACACAAAATCAACTCAATGGATTAAAGATTTGAACATATAGACTTAAAACCATAAAACTCCTAGAAGAAAATATAGATGGTAAGATTCTTCTTCTTGACCGGGGTCTTCATGATAATTTTTTGGATTTCACATCAAAAGCAAAGGCAGTCAAAACAATAGTAAACAAGTGGACTGCATCAAAACTAAAAAGCTTCTGCATAGCGAAGGAAATTGTCAAAACAAATGATAAGGCACCCTGCAAAATAGGAGAAATCATATACCTGATAAGGGTTAATCTCAAATAAATAAATATTCATACAACTATGTAGCAAAAACAATTTATTTTTTTATTTTTATTTATTTTTTTTAATGTGCAGGAAGGTGGTACCTGGGTGGCTTAGTTAAACATCTGACTCTTGATTTCCTCTCTGGTCATGATCTCAAGGTCATGAGGTCAAGCCATTATGTTGGGTTCTAAGCTTAGCAGGGAGGCTGCTGGAGAGTTTCTCCCCTCCCCCTCTCCCCCATAAATAAGTAAATCTTTAAAAAGTAATATATATTTTTAAAAAATGGGCAGAGGATCTGAATGGACATTTTTCCAGAGAAGACATTAACGGCTAATAGGTACATCAAGAGGTGTTCAGTGTCACTAATCAGGGAAGACCTCACACCTGTTAGAACCTCACACCTGTTAGAATTGCTGTCAAAAGAAAGAAGTAGCAAGTGTTGGCTAGGGTATGGAGAAGAGAGAACCCTGTGTGCTGTTGGTGGAAATATAATTGGTGCGGTCAGTCACCATGACAAACTATGAAGATGCCTCAAAAGATTAAAAATATACCCACCATATGATCTAGCATTTCCACTTTATGTATCTGTCTGAGAAGGAAAGATGCTAGTTCAAAAAGATATCTACAACTGCATGTTCATTGCAACATTATTTACAACAAGCAAGACATGGAAACCACTTACTTGTCCATTGATAGATGAATGGGTAAAGAAAATGTTATGTGTATATACAATGGAACATAATCTAGCCATAAAAGGGAAAGATACCTACCAATTGTGACAGCACGTCAGGCAAAAAGACATCCCTGCGGCACCTGGTGGCTCATTCAGGCATCTGCTTGAGGTTATGATCCTGGGATCCAGCACCACGGCAGGCTCCCTGCTCAGTGGAGAGCCTGCTTCCCCCTCTCCCTCTGCAGCTCCCTCTGTTGTTCCCCCTGCTTTTGCTCTCTTCCAAATACGTTTTTTTAAAACGTTAGTTTTAACTAACGTTAGTTAGTTACAAAATATTCCTTAGGATGTAATGGACAGTATGGTGATTATAGTTAATAATGCCATGCTATGTATTTGTGGTGATAGAGATCTTTAAGTTCTCAGTCATAAGGGAAGACCATTTATAACCCTGGTAGTAGATAATAACAATTTTTTATTATTTGACCCATGAGATCATGATCTGAGCTGAAACTAAGAGTCAGATGCTCAACTGACTGAACCACTCAGGCGCTTCTCTTTTGGGTTTTTATGGAGGGTTTCATTACATAGATTGACCTGACTAATCATTGGCCATTAGCTATTTAATCCCTCGTCCCCTCCCTTTCTCTTCCCTGGAGGTTGGGTAGTGAGGTAGGAATGCAATCTCTCTTCCTTTAAAAAAAAAAAAAAAGAATTCCTTAGGTTGTTAATTTAGAATGGTAGAATATAAATGATGCAGACCAACGGTATTTGAACATTGGACAAAATTGCTAGGAGCCAAAAAAAAAGATTTTGATTTTGAACTTAAGCCAGCAGAAATACTGGTCAGAACCTTTATTTTTCCTTTCCATACGTTGATATTAACAAGCATTTTTTTATCTCTGGGATGACATATAGGCTGCATGGCCTGCATTTTAGCATTGCGAGTCATGAAAATCGTTTCCTGAATAATGAATGTGTCTTTTCCCACCAATATTCAGTGCCTGAAAATTAGATTAATTTTAGACTTTTTTGTTCATTTCTCAATGTCTCTAAATTTGAAGAGTTTTTATCTTACAGTTACTGTTCCCTTGTTACAAAGATTTATTTTTGTGTTATTTCAGTGACTTCATAGTTGATTTTCCTACTTTTTGATTCCTTTTTTTTTTTTTAATTTTCCACGGTGCTTTAAGGATCTAAGAGGTAGTTGATCTGATAATATCTCGTATTTCAGTAGCTCTCAAAGTCATATTTGCAGAAGTGCTATTCAATAACAATTTGTCAGGTCCATGCAAAGCAAAAATAAGAGATTTTACAAATAAAGTTTATCCACTTTAAAAGTCTTCTGTTTTATTCTCTTAAATCCATCATATTTTGGGAGCAAAAAAATGCCCTTTTTAAAAACAGGATGGGAATAGATGGTATTTGTTAATTTAGATTTCCTTGCTTGTCAAAAGTGGCAGTTCTTTCTAAATTTGGAATTAGAACATTTTTATTGGGACGCCTTGGTGGCTCAGCGGTTAAGCATCAGCCTTTTTCAGCTCAGGTCGTGATCCCCAGGCTCCTGAGGTCAAGTCCCACATCAGGCTCCCTGTGATGAGCCTGCTTCTTCATCTGCCTATGTCTTTGCCTCTCTGTGTGTGTCTCTTATGAATAAATAAAATCTTTAAAAAAAATAAATTTATTTTTGGGGCACCTGGGTGGCTCAGTGGTTGAGCGTCTGCCTTTGGCTCAGGTCATGATCCTGGGGCCCTGGAATCAAGTCCTACACCAGACTCCTCTTGGGGGGCCTGCTTCTTTCTCTGCCTATATCTCTGTCTCTCTGTATCTCTTGTGAATAAATAAATAAAATCTTTAAAAAAAAATTATTTTGGGGGCACCTGGAGCCTGCTTCTCTCTGCCTGTGTCTCTGCCTCTCTATGTCTCTCATGAATAAGTAAAATAAAATCTTAAAAAAATTTTTTTTTAATTTTGGTCTCTGAAATTTAAAGGTCTTAGAATTACTGGCCTATAGCATATGGTCCCTAATATCCTAATAACAGTGTATAAGATGGTTTTGAAATATCTAATGAATTTTATCTCTTATGCTATTCCAACTCATTGATTTGTGGAGAAGGCGTGTGAGACCAAGTTTGTACTAAGCTGAAGCCACATTCAGTTAGCAAAACAGCCTTGTGCAAGGGATGAATGTAATCCTGATCTGGCCGACTCCTTATTTAGCTTTGCTCCTCTGCTTTTCCATGTGTACAAGGTTTATTCTGTAGAGTTAACCATGAACTAATACGGTTACCTGAATGTGTGCAGTATGCTTTTTATAATTGAGGCATAAAGGAAGAGGACACTTTGAACAGTTATGATTGAAATACTATGTTCTTATTCAAACCTACATTTTTAAGGGGACGAACTAATCCTTTTCCTTTTTTATGCCTTATGTTGAATAACCAATTAAAGAGTTAGGGGGAAGTAAACTAGTTTGTACATTCTGAGTGATTTTTATGTTATGGATTGTGTTAAAAGAAAACTTTGAGCTAAGAGGTTTGTTTGTTTTTTTAAGATTTTATTTTTTCGTGAGAGAGAGAGAGAGAGAGAGACAGGCAGAGGGAGAAGCAGACTCCATGCACGGAGCCTGATGTGGGACTCGATCCCAGATGTCCAGAATCACACCCTGGGCTGAAGGTGGTGCTAAACCGCTGAGCCACCCAGGCTGTCCAGAGCTAAGAGTTTTAATAAGTACTATGTTTAATATTATCTGTTCTTGTTTCGCTCTTGAAAATATTTCAGATAATAAGATTTAAAAAAAAATACCATTTATAGTGTAAGATTGTATTTCCTAGAATAGGCATTAGATGCAGGATAAATCTTCTATTATTTGAAAAGTCTTGTTTTTAGAGTAGTTTTCATAAGTTTATATATTGATTATTTTCTTGATCTTCTGTCCATCTTTAGAACAAGAAACTGGTTTCTCAGGAGTTTGAAGTAATTGAATCAAGGAAACAAAATGTTAATAAGATTTTTTGTTGTTGTTTTGCTCTTCAGTTTTTCCTAACCATGTTTTTTTTATATATAGTTACATAGAAGATTTAATCTAAATCAAATTGATTACCCAGCAAAATACAATATAAAGTAAAGTGACACATGGGTAGAAAGGAACAAAGACTGAAAAAACTACGTGGCAGAAAAATGTGTACTTATGAGGAATGAATAAAATTGGGGATTAAACTTAATAGACTGAAGGCAAGTGTTTCGTTGTTCCATCAAAACCCTTTTTTGAAACTTACAGTCCACATCAGCATCAGCATCTGCATCACCATTTCAATCTACATGGTATAGTGAATCTGAGATAACTCAGGGAGCACGCTCAAGATCACAAAACCAGCAACGGGATCATGATTCAAAAAGACCTAAACTTTCCTGTACAAATTGTACATCTACCTCAGTCGGGAGAAATATTGGACATGGTTTAAATGCAGTACCAGGTAAGACTTAAGTCTGTGTAAGAGTCACTATATATGCATTTTGAACTAAAGCCTTTTTCCCCCAAGACATAGTTGTATTAAGCAAGTAGAACATATGTGAGATAGTGGGTCAGAAATGTAGTGGAATTTCCAAAATCCTACCTTAAGTTACTGCTACAACTGAAATTATTGTTTGTACTGAAATTAACTCTTTGTTTTGGAGTTTGTTCTAAATTTGATAGAAATATCTTAACACAAACAGGTCTAGAATATTTTGAATAATTAGAATTGCTGATATGTACACTAAAAGTGACTGACATGTATTTTGCTGATTAATATAGGAAGTCAGTTTTTTAATTGTTATGCTAGGAAAGCCAAATTTACGGACACATATTTATATTTCCTAACCTAAGCATATCTTTTGTAAATGTTGTGGTATATACTTATTTTTCAGAAACAAATTCTTTAAACAAAAATAGTTGGTATTCTAGTAGGAGTTCTTTATAAGGAATCTGAAAGTATTCTAGCTGTCTAGCTGTATGGCATTTGGACAAGTCACTTAACCATTCTGGGATTTAGATGACTTATCCATAAAGCTCCATACATGGTATTTTGTACTCACAGACATAAATTTGTTGCACAAATTGAAAAGATGTTTCTTTTCCTTGAGAGGGCAGGAGGCTCTCTCCTCACACCCTCACTCCTCTTCAAATGAAACACTAGGGAATTCCTGAAGTAGTTTTAAGATGAGACAATTTGTGATAACACATTTGGAAGATAAAATTCTTGAAATGCTTATGTATTATCAATTGAATTAGTGTAAGCGATTCCTTTCTATTTTGATAGGCAGGACCGCCTTGGGAAAGACACTGCCCATCTGAAGAATATTAAGAGTAGTGTGATGGGTAAGAGCAGACTTGTCCTTAACATTGTAGAGAAACACCATTGTGCACAGATATTTTTGGTCTCTTCTACTCTGTGAAGGCATAGCATTAAATACCCTGGGCCATTTCCCTTAATGAGGAGGAATCAATAAGGCTATTGGGACTAGGAAAGGAAGAACCAAAATTTCAAGGTAAATAGTTAGGGGGGAAAAGTTTTGAGACTTATTTTGTCAAATATGATTTCATTTAAAATTTAGATTATGATTACAATACATTAATTCTTAGAGTAAGAGTGAACCAAGTGTGATGTCAATGATAATATTTCTAATAAAATATCTTCAGTGTCTAGTAAAACATCTTCCATTTTGGATGGCTTGATTTTGATTTTGGCTGTTCTTTCCACTGTCACTTTCATTGATTTTTCAAGAAATTCTGTATTTTTTGCAAGCTTTGCATTTTTGTTCTGTAAATTATTTTACATCATGCTTACGTTGTATGGTCAGATGTTCTAAAAAGTGAGACATTGACATCACGGATGGGTGGTAGGTTTTAGTGTTAAAGAAAAATGTGTTTGAGTAGGAAATTTTTTTAAGTGATTCATTAGTGAATAAGCGACTTCATTAGTGAGTAATTTTATATTTTGTTGAATTTTGCTTCTGATTGCCACGATGTAACCTTGAGGATTCCTATAATAAATCACAATAACCTCCCTATGTTATACTGAAGATTTGTCATCAGAAACCTTGAAAGCTTTCTCTGAGTTAAAATGTCTTCAATTATTTTAAGATTCTTCTTGGAGGCATAATCAAGTTCCTAGATCTTCATCAATGGTACTTGGATCATTTGGAACTGACTTAATGAGAGAGAGAAGAGATTTAGAGAGAAGAGCAGATTCTTCCATTAGTAATCTTATGGATTATAGTCACCGAAGTGGTGATTTCACAACTTCATCATGTATGTATAAATTGTATTGTTACATATAACGTACCTAATCATGTTACATTTTCCTCTTTATATCATTAAAATCACAGCACAAATGAATATACAAAGTGCATCTTAGGAAGATTTCAAAACAGCTTAGAATGTATTTTAGTACTTTATTTGTTACATTTTTTAAAAATAAAAGGCTTAAAATAGATGTACATTAGTATCCAGGTTTTCCCTGCCTATAATTTTCTTGCTTGTGCTTTTCCTTTTAAGAATGCGTATGTCCAAAAAAAAAAAAAAAAAAAAAAGGAATGTGTATGTCCTAAAGTATACTAAATAATTTTGTATACTCCAGTATCATTTGCCTTATACCATTGACCTTGAACAATGCAGGAGTGAGGGAATTGACCCCGTCTCCCCATTCTTCCAGTGTATTTGAAAATCTATGTATAATTTTTGAATCCCGCAAAAGTTTAGTGCTTCTATCCTACTGCTGACTGGAAGCATTACCAGAAACATAACAGCTAACACATGTTTTGTAGGTGACATGTATTATGTAATGTATTCTTAGAATAAAGTAAGCTGGTGAAAAGAAAATGTTAAAATCATAAGGAAGAGACAGTACATATATAATACTACTATGTTTACTGAAAAAAAGTCCGTGTGTAAGTGGACCTGTACAAATCAAACTCATGTTGTTCAGGGGTTAAATGTAGGGTGTAGTTACTACTTAAATTCTGACCTAATTAAAGCTTGAAATCAATATTTTAAGGCATAATTTAGAATTAAAGCATGCCTTTATTTTCATTCAGTTGCAATAAAGATCCACACCATTTCTGTCAGTGTACACTAAGCTTGAGGTTTCTTCAAGATTAAATACCATAAAACAAAAATGGTACAAAAACAAAATGTACTTACTGAAGTTGACAGATTTAGCAGGCAAAAGTAGAGTTTGATTTATGTAGAAGAAAATATATTTGTTCTTAAAGGTTTAGGTTATTTTAAATAAGCTTATTGGGGCAAGTCTCTTAAAGTCAATAAAATCATCTTTCTGTGTGGTTGGCATCAGGTAGAGGAGTTACAGTATATAGTATCAGTAGCATCTATGCTTAGAGGTCTACAAGTATAGGACAGAAATAGACTTAGCCACTAACAGTTTATCCCTTCATGAAGCTCCATGTGTTACTGCAGTAGCAGTCTTACTCTTTATAAAGGAGTGCTTTATAAAGGAGTGCTACATTATTTCGATTTGAACCACTGGTAGTATACTTTTCAAAATTGCAGATACCAAGTCCCTATTCTGACTCCTAGCTCCGAGAAAGTGTTAAAAAAAAAAAAAAATAGAGATGTCTGAGAACCAACCATTGCTCTTAATTTGAAAGAAAAAAGATTAGAGAAAGTTTTAGCTGTTAACAAGGTTTGCCCTAAAATTATAAGGATAATAATATTTGTGTGAAATATCTTTTATGCATATTGCAGAGTAAGAAGAATCTCCAGAACACTGTCTCCCTAGGATTATTTTGCCTTTATTTGTCGTGAGAGTCTTGAATAATTTGGCCCATTTAAAATTCTTATCCATTTAGGTATTAGTTTACTATATCAATTTCTGATTGACATTTAGATTGTTACACCTACATCAAGTTAGTAGATCTAGGTCTTTATCTCATAAGCTGTGACACATTTCTTTCTTTTCAGTTTGCAATGCTGACTTAGTAACAGTACTGGATTATATCAGAGGTATAGAAAGAGAAGTACATTTATGTTTTTTCCCATAATTAAGCTGCTGTGTGTATATGGTATAGCAGTATTCGGTTTGAATCCCATAATTCATTTTGCAGTAATTAGTTAAATACAAATTTAATAATACTCATTTTATTTCATGTAGTTGGTAATCTTTTCTTTTCTTTCAAAAATAGATGGTCAAGACAGAGTTCCTTCTTCATATTCACAGGGAGCAAGACCAAAAGATAACTCAGTGAGCACTTTACAGTTGAATACATCATCCACAAATCACCAAATGCCTTCTGAACATCATACCATACCATGTTCTAGGGACAACAGTAGAAATTCACTAAGATCAAATTTTTCTCCAAGGGAATTGGAATCTCCACAAAGCAGTACACAGCCTGGATTTTCTTATATATCAAATAGAGATGAAACCTCAACCATAAGCAGTTCAGATAGGGTTGGTTCATCTCAGAGATCATTTCAAGAATCTTCTGACAACGAAAGTAGACGTTCGACTAGGAGATTGCTATCGCGTATAGCTTCTAGTATGTCATCTACCTTTTTTTCTCGAAGATCTAGCCAGGATTCCTTGAATACAAGATCACTGAGTTCTGAAAATTCTTACGTGTCTCCAAGAATCTTGACAGCTTCACAGTCTCGTAGCAATGCAGCATCAACTTCCGATGTTCCTGATAGTAGAGCATCTGAAGCTTCTCAGGGATTTCGATTTCTTAGGCGAAGATGGGGTTTGTCATCTCTTAGCCAAAATCATAGCTCTGAGCCAGATTCAGAAAATTTTAACCAAGAATCTGAAGGTAGAAATACAGGACCGTGGTTATCTTCCTCACTTAGAAATAGATGCACACCTTTGTTCTCCAGAAGGAGACGAGAGGGACGAGATGAATCTTCAAGGATACCTACCTCTGATATACCATCTAGATCTCATCATATTTTTAGAAGAGAATCAAATGAAGTGGTTCACCTAGAAGCACAGAGTGATCCCCTTGGGGCTACTGCCAACAGAGCACAAGCATCTGCATCATCAAGTAACGCTGCTACAGGTGGCTCCCCATCAGATTCAGCCCACAGTGGAAGAAATACAGGAATAACAGGAATCCTTCCTGGTTCCTTATTTCGATTTGCAGTCCCCCCAGCACTTGGAAATAATCTGACCGACAATGTCATGATTACTGTAGATATTATTCCTTCAGGGTGGAGTTCATCTGATGGAAAAAGTGATAAAAATAAAAGTGCACCTTCAAGAGATCCAGAAAGACTGCAGAAAATAAAAGAGAGGTAAATTTGAACACCTGTTGTGAGTCCATAAAGCAAAGAGCAGATTAGAGAAAGAAATCTATTTCTAAAATGATTTCTCATAACATTGGTATCTCAGATTTCTTTTCCTTAAAATTTATACCATTAAGATGTTAGCTTCTCAGAGGAAGTAGATGAGAATTAAAATGAACGTAGGCACTGGGAGTATAGATTGCATCAACAAGTAGTCTAAAGATTATTTTTAACCAGCTTTTTTTTTTTTTAATTTTTATTTATTTATGATAGTCACAGAGAGAGAAAGAGAGAGAGAGAGAGAGAGAAAGGCAGAGACATAGGCAGAGGGAGAAGCAGGCTCCATGCACCAGGAGCCTGATGTGGGATTCGATCCCGGGTCTCCAGGATCGCGCCCTGGAACAAAGGCAGGCGCCAAACCGCTGCGCCACCCAGGGATCCCTTTAACCAGCTTTTGATACAGATGAGCAAAAAGATAAAAATCTTGCCCTGTCCCTTGGTAGACCATTACTAAATGGGCAAGGGTCCTCAGTGGTCATGGATTATCAAAATAATCTGCCTAGCCTTTAGTAAAATTTATTTACCATTTGTTTGTATTTCTCATCTCAGACTCTTCAAAATGAAGTAAAATCATTTACACAAATTGTTTTGTTTTTGAAGTCCAGGTATATACTGAGTATATGTTGTGAATAGTTGATAGAAATACTAGTTCAAATTCACTTAGAATCTTTTTTTATGCAAATGTAATCTTTGTAGATTGAAGGTTGCTTAAAAATCTGGAAAAGATGAAAGATCAGAGATTTCAGTCCCAACTTGATTATTTTGTTAATGTACTTAGTTTTTCTATTAAAATAATTTTTATGACCAAAAAAATTTTTTTATGAAAAATAAATTCCTGATAAAATGGGTTAAGATAGTACATGTAAAATATACTTGTAGGAAGAAAAGACCTAGGTAAAGCAAAGGCTGTAGTGTGGGATGTTTTACATTTTTGGTTTTTTTTTCTATTTCTTAAAGGCCTAATGTAATGAAATTATTGGGAAGCATAGTTGTTAACTGTTTTTAGATTTTTGTTTTTGTTTTTTTTTTTTAAGAAGAAATAATTCAGATCTAACTCTCTGAGGATAAAGGAAGACTGAGATGTTGGACATTAGGGTACTATATTCCCTTTATTTCTTTATGTAGGACAGATTGTACCATGGGACTATTCCTGTACTTGAATTTTGTTATTTTTCCTTTCTCGGAGAGAGATTCACTGCCCTGGTAATAGTAGCTTTAATGTCGGAATAGCAACTCCCTCTGATTACAAGCTGTCTGGTGAGAAATTTATTAACTATTATATTTATGGAGTTCAGAGGTTAATTTCAGTGCAGTGGTATAAACAGCAGCAAAGCATTCATTTAATAATTTCCACAGAGAAACCGATTAAGCCAGTACCACCCTGTCTGGTCAGATCACTTATAAAGCAGCATTTGTTGGTTATTTTGTCATAGAGATTGTGTGTGTGTACCTTTATTATATATTTTGCTCATTTTGTGAGGATTTCAAGACACTCCACAGGTAAATTAATGAGTCTAAAAAAAATAGGTCCCCCTCCCCCAAGTAAAAAATAAGAAGCTATAAGCCAAAGAAGGTTAAGTCTAAAGGGAAGACATAAATATTTGTGCTTGAGGTTGTATCTCTAATTGAGCCAGAGCATGATAGTCACCTAATAATTGTGCATCTAATCCTCTTTCCACACATCTTTTGCTAAATTCATTAAGAACCTATATGATCCAGGTTGTATTTCAGTAACAGTTTAGGATTCAGTTGTTTTAAATTACTCACTATCTCTTTATTGTCAGCAGTATACTAGGTAATAGGGATTTTAACAAAAAATTATATATCCACACAATAGCTACCATTCTGCATTTAAATTAAGCAGTACATGTTGGCCTATTAAATATAGAGGACATAGGTTAATGGAAACTGCTTTACACTTTAAAAGCCTGCCCTGTAAAAATCAGGATGGTTGAATAACATTGTTGGGGGTAGAGGAAATGGAGAATTTAAAAATCTATTCATTTTTACTGTAATTTAATACAAAAAGCTTTATCAGTTTTTAATATATGTAGTTCTGATAATATGTAATAAATAAAAAAAAACCAAGTCATTATTTGCTTCATTTATTCATGTTGTCCTAAAAGTTCTTTGGGAGGTAGGGAAGAAAAGTGTTAAGTATATAAGTATATTCCTTTATACTGTTGGAATTGAAGTAGTCTATGATACTGTAGAAATAAAGATCTCTTAGGGATGTTTGTAAAGTGATCATGAAAGGTAAGGAGCTTTAAGTGTGATATCAAAGACAAAGTTACTTAAAGCATTTGAAAGTAAATAATAGGAGATAGCCTATTTAATTTACCTGTAAAACATTGTAATTTTCATTCTCATTGAACTAGTTTTTTTTTTATGGTGGTTGCTATTTTTAAAGGTTTTGTGTTTTTTTTTACTCAGAACATGACTAGAAATAAAGATGTTGTTTGAGATGAAGTATGGTTGGAAATGACCAACAAGGATGAATTATTATGGCTCTGTTTATGAAATGTTCCTTCCTTTTTTCTAGCCTCCTTTTAGAGGATTCTGAAGAAGAAGAAGGTGACTTATGTAGGATTTGTCAGATGGCAGCTGCATCGTCATCTAATTTGCTGATAGAGCCATGCAAGTGCACAGGAAGTTTGCAGTATGTCCACCAAGAATGTATGAAAAAGTGGCTACAGGCCAAAATTAACTCTGGTGAGATTTACGTTTTTATGTATTTTGTTTTCACAGGTTTTCCAAGAGATGTATGCACAAATGCATTTTAGTTAGCAAATCTGATTATAATTGATTGTCCAATTTATACTTATCAAAAGTATGTTGATTTTTGAAGCAAAAGCATTAAAGCACATTCGTTGGTGTTACATAAATTTAATTCATCAGAGTATTTTTTATATTTCATTAATCCAACAAACTACTTTTTCATATGTGTATAACTATAATTGATTATCACAGTTGATCCTTATATCATGCATGTAAGATCCTTTTGAATTGAAGAAATAATACCTACAATTTACCAGCTATGTCAGTGTCCTTGAGAAATAATGTTTTTAATGCTGTTGTGCAGTAATGATAAAGTTACTGTAGGGATAAATTGTTCATTGAGTACCCATTAGGGAGCCATTCACAGTTGTAGATGTGGAAGCTAGAGTGGTAAACAAGACAGACAAGGCACTTGCATTTGTGCTGGTGTTGCGTGTTAAAGGAATGCCTTGTTGAGGTGAAGACATTTAAACTGAGGAACTAACTATTCTAAAATGAGGGCAAGAGCATTCCAACTGAGGAAACATCGAAGGTGAAAACTTTAAGGTGTATGACAAGTGTGTTTGAGGAACTGAATGAAATGCAGTGTCACAGGAGTATAATTAGGGCAAGGAGAGGATGATACAGTTAAGATGAGAGAAGAGAGAGATTAGCAGAGGTTAGCTTATTTAAGACTTTTTAAGCTAATGTCTGAAGTTTAGGTCTAAACTTACTTGTCTAAGTGTGATGGGAAGCTAGTGAAAGGTAGGGGAGTGAAATGATTTTATTTTGGCTGCTCTGTGGAGAGTGGGTTTTAGGGTGACAAGAGTAAAGGCAAGGAATCTATCCAGGAATCTATATTATAAGAGATGGTGTGGTAAAAATGGATGGATTCTGTTATGTTTGGGAGGTAGAAAGAATAATGAAAGGAGTTCATATTTTTACCTTGAGCAACTAAAATGGTGGGATCATTTACTGAATTAAAAGAAGAGTGTGGGGCAGGAAATAATTCTGTTTTAAACATACTATAAACAGCTTACTAAAGAAGCCTCTAAGAATGTCATCTAGGCACTTAGACAAGCCTGATGTTTCAGGAGGTGCTGAAAGTTACATTTGGGGAATTAGAGCACAAATAATTTCATTAAGCTATGGGATTAAATAAGGTCCCAAGAGCAAGAATAGGTATCAGAGGTATGAGGCCAGGACAGAGCTGCTCTGGGGCACCCAGCATTTAGTGGGAACAGAGGATATTTGAGGATCAGCCTCAATCTGGTATTAAGAAAAAAGAAAATGCAGTGTTGTATAAGCCAGAAGAAAGTGTTCTAAAGAGGGTGTATGGTCAGGGCAGCCCTGGTGGCTCAGCGGTTTAGCGCCACCTTCAGCCCAGGGCATGATCCTAGAGACGCAGAATCGAGTCCCACATCGGGCTCCCTGCATGGAGCCTACTTCTCAAAAAGAGGGTATGGTCAACCCTGTCAAGTACTGCAAAGAGAGAAGAACAAAGAAATGCCATTTGGTAGCATGAATGTCCTTGGTGGTTTCAGTTTTTGTGGAGTGGTGGAATCATGAGCATAATTAATGGGACTGAGAGAAAACAAGGTAAGACAGTGGAAACAGCCACATAGACCCTTCTTTCAATAGCTTTACTGGGGTTTTGTTTTGTTTTAGTTTTGGTTTTGTTTTAAGATTTATTTATTCATGAGAGACACAGAGAGGCAGAGCTATAGTCAGAGGGAGAAGCAGGCTACTTGCAGGGATGGAACTTGATCCCAGGACCCTGGGATCAGCCCCTGAGCCAAAGGCCGACTTAACCACTGAGCCATCCACGCATTCCAATAAGCTTTACTGTTAAGGAGATTGGTGATGAGGGGGGGAAGTTGCGGACTAAAATGGAGTCATGGGACATGTTTTTGTTTTAAAGTGTGATTTTAGGACATGTTTTTAAGACATGTATTTATTTTAATAAGAGATACAATGGAAGAAGAAGATGCACGAAAAGGAAGGGGAAAGATGGAACCCAGAACGCAAGTTTTATCCTATTTTTAATAGGAAAAAAATTACTTTAGAAAGCTGGTGTTGATATGGATGTTGGTTAGTCTGTTGCTTTGATGAGAAGATGCCTGCTTGAATTCCTGCATAATTGCTTGTTTTCTTAATAAAAGGAGGGTAGGGTGTTTAGGACAGGTTAAGAGATTTTGATGTGTAGGGAAAATAATACTTAAAAGATGTTTTTAGTACCTCTTGGAGGTACTAGTGTCCATAAAAATCTGGTATGAAGATGATTTGAAAGTAAGATGTATATATATTTTTTAGAAACCGTTTTCAGATGGTTGGATATAGACATGGATTTGAGTTTGCTGGGTTTGGGATCTTTGCCAGGCAAATATGATGATGATTTATCAGCAAAGTTCAGTTCTTGAGATCTTTACATTCATTTGACTGTATCTTACAAAGTACTTATTTAGTAAAATTGATAAGACCCATCGAATTGAGTATTTACCAAACTACTTTAAAATGACTAAAACTAAACTTAGGCATCTATATTTTTTAAAATTCTAACAGCGATTAGCAGCCAAGGTTGAGAACCAACATTAAAAAAACTGGAGATCCTCCACAGTTAAGTGTTAAGAGTTATTATTCCAATTGAGGTTCGTCTAATTCCAAAAAGCCAGTATTCTTAGCACACTATTCTCTGTTTTCCTACCTACACAATACTATCTATTTATCAAATATTATCAGAAGACGAGTCACGATGTTTTTTATTTCGGTAATGGCTAACATTCCTGGGCCCTTACTAAATATCAAGAACCAGCTTCCATGCTGAACACTCATTTAATCTTAGTAATTCCCCAGCATAGTGACTCATAAAGCCAAGAGGCTGTCATAACACCATACAATTAAGAAAAGGCTGCTACAGGTGAAATGGATCTGTCCTACAACTTTGGGATCAGACTACCTTAAAACAAAACATAACCCCCCTAACCCAAGGAGGCTTTTGCTACCTAGCTACACACAAATTTTCCTAGGAGCCTCATAATGTCCAGCTTCAACAGGTTACCCAGTTCTTTCAAAAGATTATTAAAATTATATTAATGCCATTATAAATCACAAATGATTTTCCTATGTCACCAACTATTATCAGACCGTCAATCTCATACAATTGTGTACATTAATTAAACCAATCTAATTTCCCACCTTCTCACCCTACTAGTCACTTTCACTATGTCCTCTGGTACTCATGGTCTAACAATTACATTTCTCTCATAACTGGTCTCTTTTTTGATTCATCTCTTTAACTTCATGCCTAATTTATAGTGCCCCTCTAGACTGATACATACTTTTCTGTAGCCATTTTTTCTCACAACCCCTTGTACCTCAGGACCAAGAAGTAGAAATAAATAATGCTCATATCTATTGCTACTGAAACTGGTAAGTCCCCTTTCTTTCATTAATAACTTTAGCACCTAGCTTTCTAACGTTACCAATTTACTTCTTGGCTATTTCATCATCTACACACATTTTTCATTCTGACTTCTCCACATCCATGCTTCTAAGTATTACCCTTCCCCACCCCAGCCAACCACTATGGTCATATCCTTGACTTAGTTTATTATACCACCCCTAAGTCTATATTTTAGACATTTTCTCCATTGTACCTACAACTTCTCATCATTCCAATTCATCTACTCTGGCAATTCTCTTAAGTATCAATGAGACTCAAAGACACTAACCCTGCCGCTTTCTTACTATCCAATTCCTGGATAATTAATTTCCACGGTCACCACAACTATGTCCTTATGAATATATCAGCATTTTATTCCTTTTATGGCTGAAAGGAGCTGTTTTTATCCAGACAAAGGTAGATTCCTTTTTTTCCCCCTCCTCACTTACAGGGAAGGCACATTTCTTAGAGCACAGAAGGTCTTAGGTATATATTGTTGTATCAAAGAAACTGGCCTGGGTATAGGTAACTCATTGGGATACTACATTATTCAAAACTGTTTTCATAGCATCTTGCTAAGGTACTTGAAGTAGGAAGTACAGATGACCTCCCACTGTCAGCTTCCCACCATCAGGAATGTGGGGATGTATATGCATATCTGGGAGGCAAAAAAAAAAAAAAAAAGATCCTGAAATAGTAGGCCTAGGGTGTAGGCCGAAACACCATCGCTTAGGACTTAACAAGCACATTAGTGTTACCATTTGCTATTTTAGGAGACATTACTGGTTTATAGAAGTAAGGCAATCTTCCTTTCTCCCTTTTGATTTTCTATGTTCTAAGCTTAAAACTTTACAAGGAGGGGCCCCTGGGTGGCTCAGTCTGTTAATTGTTTGCCTCCAGCTCTGGTCAGGCTTCCTGCTTAGTGGGGAGTCTGCTTCTCCCTCTTCCTCTCCCTCCCTCCCGCCACCCTGCTCAAGTGCACTCTCTCTCTCAAATAAATGAAATCTTAAATTTTACAACGAAAACTGTTTTGTGGAGACCTAGCAGAACTAAGCTTTACTTCTAATTTTACCAGGTTCTTCATTAGAGGCTGTAACCACCTGTGAACTCTGTAAAGAGAAGTTGCAGCTTAACCTGGAGGATTTTGATATTCATGAACTACATAGAGCTCATGCAAATGAACAAGTTAGTATATTTTGCCTAATTTGGTAAGTGTCTATTCTATGCTTAAAGGACAACTCTTGAAGAAAAGATTAAATCATGGTCAGAAAACCTGCATTGAAATAATAATAGTAATGTTTTTAATATATTTTTCTGTTATTACATTAGTTATTGTATGATTTTGTAGTTTTTTCATTATTTTACCCCTAACTTTTTAAAGCAAAAGGCAAATAACCAAGTCACAGATTCTAAGGTAAAATATATGCTTTCTAAATTAACCTGGAAACAATAAGGTTTAGGATTGGTCCTAAAGTAGACCTGCTATTCTCTCTCCAGAGCGGTCTCGATTGAGAAAGCCTCTTAGTACTGGAATATAGTTGAAACAGCAGTCCCCAGATCTGCATCCTAGTTCTGTATTTTTTATGCTAGGAATAATTTTTTATATGCCTATCTGACATCCCTCCCCACCCCCCATTCTTCCTCCTGTTTGGTTCCCTCTGTCCTCTTCACTACCCCCCATTCTGCTTCCACCTTCATTTTGAAGGAGTTAGCTTACATGAAATAATTTATTCCAAGTTCACATTGTTTCTTTTCCTTTAGTGTACTGTATCCTACAGTAGTGCTGTTACTTATATAATGAATAATGTTGGGATTTCTCTAATCATATTAAGATTTTATATCAAATATTTTCCTCTCGTTTCTCAGATTTTTTGTATTGATCACTACTCTCCACCCCACACACCCATTGATTTGATCACTCATTTTTCTTAAAGCTTACAGTTCAGTATCTTTCCCTCTTTATTTTTTATTTTTTTTATAAATTAATTTTTATTGGTGTTCAATTTACCAACATACAGAATAACACCCAGTGCTCATCCCGTCAAGTGTACCCCTCAGTGCCCGTCACCCATTCACCCCCACCCCCCGTCCTCCTCCCCCTCCACCACCCCTAGTTCATTTCCCAGAGTTAGAAGTCTTTATGTTCTGTCTCCCTTTCTGATATTTCTCACACATTTCTTCTCCCTTCCCTTATATTCCCTTTCACTATTATTCATATTCCCCAAATGAATGAGAACATACACTGTTTGTCCTTCTCCGGTTACTGTGGCCAAGTTCAAAAAGGGTGTTGCCTGAGTTCTCCTCTGGGATTTTGATGGAATCTTGTCTCACATTTAGATCTTTCATCTATTTTGAGTTTATCTTTGTGTATGGTGCAAGAGAGTGGTCCAGTTTCATTCTTCTGCATGTGGATGTCCAATTTTCCCAGCACCATTTATTGAAGAGAGTGTCTTTCTTCCAGTGGATCGTCTTTCCTCCTTTATCGTATATCAGTTGACCATAAAGTTCAGGGTCCACTTCTGGGTTCTCTGTTCTGTTCCATTGATCTATATGTCTGTTTTTGTGCCAGTACCACACTGTCTTGATGAACACAGCTTTGTAGTACAACCTGAAATCTGGCATTGTGATGCCCCCAGATATGGTTTTCTTTTTTAAAATTCCCCTGGCTGTTTGGGGTCTTTTCTGATTCCACACAAATCTTAAAATAATTTGTTCTAAGTCTCTGAAGAAAGTCCATGGTATTTTGATAGGATTGCATTATACGTGTAAATTGCCCTGGGTAACATTGACATTTTCACAATATTAATTCTGCCAATCCATGAGCATGGAATATTTTTCCATCTCTTTGTGTCTTCCTCAATTTCTTTCAGAAGTGTTCTGTAGTTTTTAGGGTATATTTTGAGAACCATTTGAATGGTAAATGGTTCTCCAACCTTTTATTTTCAGGTTGTAGGTGTCCTTCTGTCTAAAATGAGTCTCTTGTAGACAGCAAATAGATGGGTCCTGCTTTTTTATCCAGTCTGAAACCCTGCGCCTTTTGATGGGGTCATTAAGCCCGTTCACGTTCAGAGTTACTATTGACAGATACGAGTTTAGTGTCATCATGATATCTATTTAGTCCTTGTTTTTGTGGATTGTTCCACTGAACTTCTTCTTAAAGGGGAGTTTTAAGAGTCCCCCTTAAAATTTCTTGCAGAGCTGGTTTGGAGGTCACATATTCTTTCAGTTCCTGCCTATCTTGGAAGCTCTTTATCTCTCCTTCCATTTTGAATGAGAGCCTTGCTGGATAAAGTATTCTTGGTTGCATGTTCTTCTCATTTAGGACCCTGAATATATCCTGCCAGCCCTTTCTGGCCTGCCACGTCTCTGTGGAGAGGTCTGCTGTTACCCTAATATTCCTCCCCATGAAAGTCAGGGACTTCTTGTCTCTTGCTGCTTTAAGGATCTTCTCTTTATCTTTGGAATTTGCAAGCTTCACTATTAAATGTCGAGGTGTTGAACGGTTTTTATTGATTTTAGGGGGGGATCTCTCTATTTCCTGGATCTGAATGCCTGTTTCCCTTCCCAGATTGGGAAAGTTTTCAGCTAGGATTTGTTCAAATACATATTCTGGCCCTCTGTCCCTTTCGGCGCCCTCGGGAACCCCAATTAAACGTAGGTTTTTCTTCCTTAGACTGTCATTTATTTGCCTTAATCTGTCTTCATGGTCCCTTAATTGATTGTCTCTTTTTTCCTCAGTTTCCCTCTTTGCCATTAACTTGTCTTCTATGTCACTCACTCGTTCTTCCACCTCGTTAACCCTCGTCGTTAGGACTTCTAGTTTGGATTGCATCTCATTCAATTGATTTTTAATTTCTGCCTGATTGGATCTAAATTCTGCAGTCATGAAGTCTCGTGAGTCCTTAATGCTTTTTTCTAGAGCCACCGGTAGCTGTAGAATAGTGCTTCTGAATTGGCTTTCTGACATTGAAGTGTAATCCAGATTTTGTAACTCTGTGGGAGAGAGGGCTGTTTCTGATTCTTTCTTTTGAGGTGAGGTTTTCCTTCTAGTCATTTTGCTCAGTGCAGAGTGGCCAAAAACAAGTTGTATTGGAACACGGGGGAGTATCACTGGGGGAGTATCACTGGTCCGTCTAGCTGGTCTTCTGGGGGAGGGGCCTGCTGTGCTGATTTTCAGGTGTTAGCACTTGGGGGAGCTGCTCTGCCCCTGCCTGCTGCCGGGCTCAGCGGGGGTTGTTTACCCCGTGGGGCCCCAGGAGGAACAGCAGCAATTGCTATGGCAACTCTGGAAGCCTGGATTTAGCCTCCGCGGGAACTACGGGGCTCGGGCTCTCGGTTCTCTGTCCGGTTCTCTGTCCGCAGGGCCTGGAGGCTCCGGGGCGGGGCCGCTGATCTGCTCAGCTCGGGGCAGGAGCGTCCTTGCTGTCCTGGGACTCCCGGCCTCTGCCTGTCCCGGGGGAGGCCGGATCCTGGGCTGTGTCCCGGCGCCCTGTGTTCCGGGGCCTGCGCTGTTGGATTTGCGCTCCCGCCCTGCAGCTCCCTCCCTGGAGCCGCTCCCGAGCCCCTCCGAGCTGCTCCGGTGGGTCCCGCCATGTGCGCTGCAGCCCTTAGGGAGCTGGAGCACTCTCCCGGGGCGCAGGTGTCTGTTTGTGTCCCAGGGAGCCCGAGGGCATCCCGCTCTCCTGGGTCCTGCTCTAACTCCCTGCGAGCCCCTTTCCGCCCGCCCGGGAAGGTTGGTGCAGCTCCTGCTCCTCCGGGACGGGGCTCTCCTGTCCTGGGGACACTCGCCCCGGCCTCAGCCCGGCTCCTCGCGGGGCCCCTCCCCCTCGGAGGCCTTTTGTTCCTTTATTTCTTTTTCCCCGTCTTCCTACCTTGATAGAAGCGCGGACTCTTCTCACTGTAGCATTCCAGCTGGTCTCTCTTTACATCTCAGGCCGAATTCGTAAATTTTCAGGATTGTTTGAAGGTTATCTAGGTAATTTGGTGGGGACAGGTGATTTGGGGACCCTGCTCTTCCGCCATCTTGCCCCTCCCCCTCTCTTTCCCTCTTTAAAGGAAAATTTAGGGCAGTGGGAATATGTTGAAACAGATGACAAGGATGATTCTAGGGCCATACTGTCCAAGTGTGGTTAGCATATTTGTGGTAAAAAGAGAGATGATGGTCAGAGAATGCATGAATGCTTTATTTATTTATTTGTTTATTTTTTAAAGATTTTGTTTATTCATAGAGAGACACAGAGGGGCAGAGACACAGACAGAGGGAGAAGCAGGCTCCATGCAGGAAGCCTGACGTTGGGCTCGATCCGGGTCTCCAGGATCACACCCCAGGCTGCAGGCAGCGCTAAACCGCTACGCCACCGGGGCTGCCCACATGAATGCTTTAAAAACACTTTAAATGAAGGAGTAATGGACGACTGCCCCCCCCCCTTTTACATAACAACCATTTTAAGATGAACAACTTACTGGTACTAATACATTTGCAGTGTTGTGCAACCATCACCTCCATCTAATTCCAGGACATTTTCATCTCTAAAAGAAAATCCTGTACCCATTAATCAGTTGCTCCCTATTCCCCCTTCTCCCGGCAACTACCAATTTGTGTTCTGTCTCTATGGGTTATCTATTCTGGATATACTTCATATAAATGAAAACATGCAGTATATAATCTTTTGTGGACACTCTTCACTTTTTAAATATGGGAATATGGATATCCTTTAAAAATCTGATTAAGACCAGGGACACTCCTTACAGAATACACATTGACACAAAATCTGTATATAATTTTATGGATTCCCAGATCTCTCGAAGCTGATTGATTACATCCAAGTTAAGAGTTGATCCATTGAATGAAACATTAGGCAGTTGCTGTAGTACAGATGCTACCCTAATGCTAATTACTGATTTATTCTTTAATGGAAGAGTATGCCAAAAGGTACTCCAAACCACTTTCAGTAAGGAATTGTCTTAAATTCTTACGGAGTTTGTCTAGACAGCTGGATGTTGGTATTTTAAAGAATAGGGAGAAAAAATATGGAGTGGTGGAATAATGGAAAGATTTTTGTTTTTGTTTTCTCAAAATTAGAGTAGATGTCAAAGGATGGTTTTCTCCTGCCCTTTCTTTGTAGGTGCTCCACCGTGTCTTTTGAAGGGGTTTTTGGCTTTTCAATACCTACGAATGTTTTTATTATTTTTCAAGGATTTTAATGACCCTCCTCTTAAATAATTTAGAGGTGTTAGGAAATACTAGATAGAGTCATTATAAAAGTGACACTCTTGATTAAGCTTCCTGGCTGTAGTATCTTTGTTCTTTGTGAATCGTGGATTCTACTGGCCTGACAACTACCCTTATTTTAAATGATTAGTTTTAATACAGTTTATTTTTTCATTATCCAGTGCCTTCATCTTTTTCAGTGCGATAACCATTAAACTTTTTTTAATCTTCTATAAACAAGATTTCCTTTTAAGTTAAAAATAAGCAGTTATTGAAGTATTTAAAGAAACTTTTAATCAATTTGAAATTTGTTGAGTTGTCTGAAGAATCTCTAACCAATAACTTGCTCAATTTGGTATTAAGAACATACAATATTAAAAAAAATACAATATTAAAAAAAGAACATACAATATAGTTAACTTGAGATAAGTTAATTATCAAAGAATGATCTAATTTACATACTTTTTTGTGCAACTGTTACCGATTAGATTTTTAGTACCACTATATTCATGATTTCTATTCTTAGATTTAAAACAACAGAACAGCTTTGAACCAAAGAACTGTCTTTACCTACTGCAAATTTCCATGCAAATGATACCACAAAGTTATTTTTCTTTTTTAATAGATAGTACTGTATCTCTTCTTAGGAACTGGATATAAATACATTTCCTCTAGTTTATCAATATACTGTGAGTATCAATCTCATTGTACTAATTTTTCGTTGTCCATATTTTTCTTTTTTTCGATTGCTTCCCTGTTGAAGGCTGAGTATGAGTTTATCAGCTCTGGTCTCTACCTAGTTGTGTTATTGCACTTGTGCGAACAAAGCTTTTCTGATATGATGGGAAATACAAATGAACCAAGCACACGTGTCCGAGTAAGTAATATTGGAGTGGGGGATGGAGAGAGGGTGCGATTATTTTTTTATATGTTCACATTCTGTTTTCTTTGGGAAGGTTTTATATTAAAATGTATCTTAACCAAAAACAAAAAAAAATGTATCTTAAAAATAAAGATATTGTAGATTTAATAGAAATTGCTGTCTTCCTTCTGTATCAAACAGCCTAATTCTTTCATAAAGCTATTTTTAAAAGAGTAATATTCTAGCTCTTAAAGGTAACTGGAATATGTTTCAGTGAAAAACCGGGATGGAATTGAAAACACCTAGGGGAAATGCTCATTTTAATTTGGGAGGGAAAATCCCAGTCATTGTTATAACTTAGAAACCTGACATTGAAACTGAACTCCAAAAACCAAGAGTATGGGCAATTCAATTTCACTTGTTACTATCCTACAAAAGATTACCAGTGTACTAGGTTTTAAGCATTCATATTACAAACTACTTAAGATATGGACTATTGTGTGTTTGCTGTGTCCACTCTTAACCTTTGAGCTAGCTATCTTAAGATGCTCATAAGTAAAATGATACTACTTACCTCAGTGTACCATAGGAAATTTATACTCTGCTCCCTTGCCCATTTTGTGTGGCAAGGGCTAGGGTCTACATCTCAGTATGGTAGTGTTGTGAACACTTCATATCTTGTAACGTGTTCATAAACTTATACTTCAGACTATTTTTTAAATAAATGTTCACTCTGATAAAAATAGAGCCAAGTTTCTGATAAGGTGTAATGTTCCCATTTTATTTTGAAAATTATCAAATAACCAACATATATACTGCTTCTGAGTTGGTTAAAAAAAAATTTTTCTGTAATTATCATGTGAACGTTATTCCTGTGAGCCATTTGACAGACTATCATTATTGAGAGAGAAGAGAATAAGCTATCACCAGGATTCAGAATTTTGAGCAAAGATCTCTTGACTTCTAAGTACTTTAGAATAGAGTAGAATCTAAATTTAGTAAAGGCCATAAATTGATTTCTTTAAAGGTGACTTTTCAAAATGAATAAACCTTATATAATGCATATAGTAAGATTTGTTTAATTCATGCCTTTGTAAAAGGTATAGAGAAATTCTTAAAGTGGAAGTCTTTACTGAATTTACTTCTGGAGCTGTGAAGTTTAGGCAGGAAAATATTGATTATTCATGTTTTGTCTTTTTTAATTGACCACTAAAAGTGAATTCGTGTCCGAGTTGTAATTGTTTTAATTTTTTTCTCCATAATTTTTGAAGTGTTGTATTTATTCAAGAAGACAGAATGCCATTGGATAAAATTATTTTGTATCTGTTTTCAGTTTCTACATGACCATTTATATAATGATTTTATATATATATATATATATATATATATATATATATATATATATATATATATATTATACACAACATTTAAAAGATAATATCCTAAGCTTGTAATTTTTGATGTGGGGATAGAACGACCCCTTTTTAAAGGCTTAAAATGGTGTTTGACTTTTAAAGTAGAAATGAATCTCCTATACTGATTCTCTTTTTAGATCCATTTGCAACATTTAAACTACTATATTTCTTTCTGCATTGTTTCTAGTTTATTAACCTTGCAAGAACTCTTCAGGCACATATGGAAGATCTCGAAAGTAGGTGGAATTTCCCCTTCCCAGACTTGTTGAATTTACTTTTGCAATTGAAACCCAGAGAGCAAAATCTAACTGTATATACTCTTTCTACCAAATTAGAACTTCATTGACAGGCTTAATAATATCAAAATAATTGATTTGGGAAAGATGGGTTGGGCAAGTGGCAGTTTTTTTTAAAAGCATATTTTTTTTAAAAAAATAGTGTATTAATTTTAAGGTTCATATAGAAGGATGTATTTTAACTAGTGTTTTATTTTAAATAAAATTTTATTTTTGAGCCCTTAGTTTTAAAACTTTTAATCAAAAAAACATTTACTGGTCAAACCATACTTCTAAATCTGTTAGATTTGTGTGTGTGTGAAATTTTCCTGGCTATTCAGCTTTGTTATATCATTAAAGGTTTTCCCTGGCTTTGTTTATAGTTCTAGGAAAATAGGGATGAAAGATTCCTAATTCTGAGTCTATAACAGAAGCCATAGTGGGTTTTTTTTGCTCCTTGTTAGGTCCTCATGGACCTTTAATAGGCAGCCAGCTCCGCCAGCAGCTCCCATCTCTTAAGATCACGTTCTAGCATTAGGACTTCTGCCTGGACTCCTATGTGAAGGCACTTAGTGCCCAAATCTTTACAGGCATCTGCAAGCTTAACCTCAAAGTCTTATAGCCTCCAGGGTGCTTCATATCAGGTGGGCACAGATATTGGTGGCTCCGAAACAGATCCTAGGAATCCAAGATTACCCTACCTGTTGTACTTTTTCACCCAAAGCAACCAGCGCCCCATGATCAGGTTCCATCACACTCTTTGAAGTGTTTTAAAATATGTATTCTCCACTTGTATCTGCTATACTCATCTTCAGAACACTTGGAGTGTTATCTGTACTGTGCAAGTTTTGAAAGGATTAGAGGTACAACCAGATAATGCATTTTAGTATGTGTGAAATGGTATATAAAGGAGTCAGGGGTATATAAAATGGGAATTCATTTGATGTAAATCTTGTTTTACCTTTTATACCTTCTTAGTTCAGATCCCTTATGTTGCCTAAGACAAAGATCTTTTTGGTAAATTATAATTTATACTTTGCCAGATGTGATGATAGTAAGTTGTTTCAGTGTATGTTTTCCCCAGATTGCTTGTTTTGTTTTAAACTAAGATTCTCGTTTAGAATTTAGTTTCCTAAACATAGCAATGTCTATTCCCAGTATGTGAGAAACATGGAGGTGATATAATACCCAAAGTCAGCTGAGAGTGAAAGATATGGGTGCTGCAAGTTTGTCTATAAGTATCAGAATTTTCATATGTTCTGAGAGTTGTTTCTGACTGAATTTTCTTCTCAAATAGAAAACATGAGAAGTTCCCTGAAAAGCTGTTTTCTTAGTTTGATATTTCTCCATGATAAGCATAAAACTTAATCATATGATTTACTCATTCATGAGCTAAGTATATGCTTTATACCATTTATTAAAAATGGACTTGAGATTTCTAATAAATAGACTGAAATATGGAAACTTAAGTTTCATCCACACATATAACATAAATTTTTTGTTAATTCAATTTGTTTGTTCTTAAATACTGGGTCCAGTGTTAATACAAGAAGAGTATACATTTAACCTTTCTGCCCTTGATAAAAGGGGAAATACTGATGGGGTGTTCATTTTGGCGTACTTCCATTTTCTTCAACACAGAACAGTTTATAGAATACATGTTCTTTACTTATGTCCTTCCTATAGACATTCCAGGATGTTAATTTGAAACTTCTAAGCTACTTTAATGACTTAAATAAATTGATGTCAGAAATACTGCACAAGTGAGATTTCTGACAGCGTGGAGGCATAGGAATAATCTCAACAAAAGGTTTTTATTGAATCCAATTATTTTAAATTAGGCTGTGTCTATATAAAGCTTTTTTGACTGAATAGAACTTTTTCTTGGCATTGTATAGACATAGCTTTGATGTAAATTGCAAGAACACCCATAACCTATTCTGTGTACATTTTTTTTCATTCTCATCGGATGCATCAAACATGCAGCGGTAATAAACCAGATTCTACTCAGGTGTGTGAGAGCACTTGCCTTAAGTTCATTTTTTCTCTAGTGTCTATATCATTAGCTACTGTGAACACAGATTGATCTCAGAAGCTTTTTAGAAGACTTTTCTGGAAGCACAGTTTTAAGCATTTTCATTTTTATAAAAACTAACGAAAAGGTGTGGGGGTGGGAACATTGTGAATGGGCATCACCCACAGTCAAGCCACCCTAACCTTGTCATAACTTACCATTTTGACCAAACAGTGTACTAAATTGGGATTTTTATTTTACAAGTCATTGCTATTCTGGCTTCATATTTACACTTCCATTCTCATCCCCTTTAAAATCATTCTTGATCATCCTGTTTTCTTTCAACAGCTTCAGAGGATGATTCTGAAGAAGATGGAGACCATAACAGAACATTTGATATTGCCTAACTTCATATAAGACAAATGGATGATCTGTGAACAAGTGTTTATTAAAACTGGCAATTAAGTATGAATTAATTTTGTGGGGGAATGCCTATTGAATACATTGACTATATATATACATATGTGTGTGTGTAAAATATGTGTGTGTATATATACACACACACATACAGATGTCCTATGTGTGTGTGTGTGTGTGTGTGTATATATATATATATATATATATATATATATTCATTCTCAAGTATTGCTGAATTAAAATTCTGCTGGACCTTTTAACATGGCCAGTCGATCTCTTGTTTATAAACTGGTAATCAAAAGTATTTTTCTTTTAGGTGAGTGGGAAAGTGTTACTCTTGTTTTAAATACTTAAGCAATGCTGACAACTTTTTTGTGTTCTGATTACTATAGTCATATTTATGAAAAAGGTTCATGTTTTAGTCTCTTGCTAGTTAAAAAAGTGGGACAAAATATGCTTTTGAAATAAAATGGCAAATGGCACCTAATTATTTTTCCTTTCAAAATGCCTTACATTGCAGTCTCATTTTCATAATCATTTGCTTCCAGTGTTTCTAAAAAAGCAATTGGGGAATAAGTTATGAAAGCATTATATTAGGTTTCCAAATTTAATATGAATTCTAAATTCACTTAGCAATAAAATCTAATTTTTAAAAAGTATATAAATATAAAATGTATAAATGATGGAAAAATTTTTGTACTGATTTGCAAAATGCAGATTATATTTGATAGGCCATAGTATGTAGATATTCCTTTTAGGAATATCACAGCTGTAAAAAATATCAGAAATGCCCATCAAATGCTATTTGGAAAAAAAAATTACTGCAATCTCAAGTTATCGGAATATTTTTAAATCCCGCATTTAAAGTTTAAAACACTGGTTTTCAATGTTTTTTAGTGTTGTCACTTCTTTCTAGATAAATATGATACAAATAACCTGTTTGGATCCTGGTCGTTTTTAATTGTTCCTTGGTAATTCTGAGCATTCATTTAATGACTTAGTATTTTTCACTATTTTTGGAGAATAGATAAACATTACCTATTCACCATGCAATATATCTACACTGTGGTCATGAGTTGTGTATACTTTCATAGCACTGTATATTTCCTGTCAACACCCTTGGATACACTTTTAAACAACTTCAGGTGGTTTCACATTAAATAAAGTCTTATGTTATGGCAACTAACTACATTTTCAGAAGCTAAATAGAAACCATGTAATTTCTCAAATGTGAATCAACAGTTTGCTCACATAGTTTGTTGGTCTTAATGTAAAAACGTTGGCTGGAAATAAAGTGCACACTGATTGATTTACTTTATAGTTTGAAATGTTTCCTTTTAAGTTGGTACACAAAGTAGACCTCAAACCTCAGAGCCAAGAACTTTATTAAAAAGTAAAATCCCATTTCATATAAAAATATAATGGTTTCTAAAATATTTTCTCAACTTACCAATTACCTTTGCATTACCTTAAAGAAAAAATACAGAATTAAAGGATTCCAGTTTCAGAATCTTTTGTCTGGATCTTTAGGGATGCTTTGAGTTTGAAACATTTATACTTTTAATAGAACTCAGCATGAAAATTAAGTATCTTCTGCTTAACCCACAAAACTTTTTATTTAAATTGAAAACATTTCATTTGTGTACAATTTATAGTTTTTTATATTAATGCTTAATGACAGATCCACAATGGCTTGAGCTTTATAGTATTCTTGTAGTTCCTTAGCATGACTATTTCATACTTCAGTATTGTATAAGTTTCTGATATCCTTTAAATGTGAATTAGAGGGAATAAGGAAAGTCTTTTCATTGTTACTTTTAAGCTCTAAACAGAGACCATATGCCGTTCACTACAAAGAATGCAAGTTCCTAGGAAAATGCAGTTAAAAGTAATACTGTTCTCTCAAGATACTTGCCAAACATAAGAATTTATATTGTCCTTAGTATCTAGAACCAAGATGTTCAGGAAAGCCAATTTATGCATTTTGAATGTAAACAGGCAAGCTTCTGTTATTGTTAATGTTAAAAATAAATAACATATTTGAATGATACAGTTAGCTGTTGACCACTGAATAGATACAAGGGCCCGTTACAGATACTCTGATAGATGAAGAAAATTAAGATTTAACACTTCAGGGATCCCTGGGTGGCGCAGCGGTTTGGTGCCTGCCTTTGGCCCAGGGCGCGATCTTGGAGACCCAGGATCGAATCCCACATCAGGCTCCCGGTGCATGGAGCCTGCTTCTCCCTCTGCCTGTGTCTCTGCCTCTCTCTCTCTCTCTCTCTCTCTCTCTCTCTCTCTCTCTCTCTCTCTATCATAAATAAAAAAAAAAAAAAAAAGATTTAACACTTCACTACCGGGGACCTTTAAGGACTTACTTGAAAAACAAAATCAAATATGGAAAATTAACTCCGTTTAAAGCAGCCATTTTGGAAGAGCTACTACTGGGTAGAAGTTACCAAAATGAACAGAAGAAAATTAGTTGTATGGGAGTTAAGTGGAAGGGGGTATTCTAGAGGACCACTGTCCAATAAAACTTTGTGATAATGCAAAGGGTCTAAAATTTGTTTTACCCAATAAGGTAGCTACTAACTAAAGGTGTTTTGAGCATTTGAAGTGTGCCTGATGCACCTAAGGAACCGAACTTTGTTCTATTTTATTTAAATAGCCACATGTAGCTTGGGTCTACCATAATGGACATTTTAGAAATTCGACTATTAGAGAAAGTTTTAAGGATGGTTCTTAAAGGACTGGTAGGATTTGAATAGAAAAAGTAGGAAGGAATTCCAGTCTGTTGTTCACTATGTGCACCACTCTTAATAGCTTATGAATAATAAAACATCATATCCAAGATCTCAGAAATTTAAAACTTAAGAGCACAGTTTTGTGTAATACAGCAGGTGTAACATCTGCTCATCTGGTACCACATAGACACACTGCAGTCCTGTCATCACTTTGTAGTTTTTCCTGTGTCCATAAAGGACAGTGCCATCAATTGTGATGAGAAGGATGTTATTCATGGTGCCAGTGGAAACAGATGGCACAGGCTGGTACTTTGTTGCCATTGGTCAAGGCTGAGAGACCATGTATCTCCCCACAAGATAATTGATAGCATGTGGGTTAGGGAGAGACATTACTTCTTTGAGCTTTCAAGTTTCTAAATACAATAAATATAATTTTATGTGAACTCTATCTTTTCATATTCTAAAGTTGTAAAGGATGCTGAGGGAAATCGCTTTTGCTTCAGCTTTCATTTTCATTTACCCCCAAAATGATTCTTTTCAACATTGTCTTGAAAGGTATATTACATTTACTTAAAACCTGAGCATCACCACTACAGCAGTATGTAGTGTTTTTCCACAGTTTTTGCTTAGTTTTCATGTCATTAAATGATAGTTCATCAGTGGTTGGAGAGCATGCGATACCTTATGTAGGAACAGATCTGGTAGCAGGAGAAAAATCCTTGAAGGGACTCTGTGGTAAAAGTGTTAAGCCTCACTGAGGGGGACACTTGACGGGATGAGCACTGGGTGTTATTCTGTATGTTGGCAAATTGAACACCAATAAAAATTAATTTATTAAAAAAAAAGTGTTAAGCCTCATTGCCAGTCTCCTCCACACTTTCCTGGTATGGCTGTAATCTTCTTGTTTCAAAAAAAATTATAAAATTTCATTGAAGTTCTAACCATTTATGACCAGTGCAAAATACTATTTCTGGTCCAAAGTGATGTTCTAAAAGTAGTGAAATTGTATAATTATGTGGAATATGGGCTTGTTAAAGTCTGTAAAATGTGCTACATCTACTCAAAAATGAAGATAAAAATATTAAGAGGAATTATCTGTGACAGTAAATAGCATTGTGATATCTGAATGTACAGGACCTATTTAAAAGTTTTACTTCCCATATCTTGTTTATTAATAAAGGAACAAGACCTAGAAACTGGTAAAGACCTGGTGATTGCTAAAACTACAGAGGGTCTTAATTCACCTTTAAACTATGGTGGTTCAAACTAAATGGAAAGGAAGATAGAGCAGTAGACTGGGTTTTTATTTTTATCTGTTTTACTTTGAGCTGTATGTAAACTTTTTCAATTGAAAAATGCATTTAGGGAGGTGGCTAAAACTACTAAATTGTATTGTGATCATTTCTTTTTTTTTTAAGTTCTTATAATGATCTAAAGATAGGTTTTTCTTACAGTGATTCTCATGAGAATGATGAATTTTACTGGAATAAGGAAAAAAACAAAAACTATAATTTTCATTATCAAGTTTTACATTAAAATCCTGCACAGGAATCACTGTCAAAGTATTTGACATCTGAAGCTGAGATTTCCAAAATCTTAGTCAAATTGAACAGTATACTCATTTTCTTCTGCAACCACCAAAACACAGTCGTCGTTATAAGGTGATTGAGGTGCAGTTGAAAAAACTGTGGTGAAATCAGAATCCAAATTTCTTTTGTACAGGAACCAAACGATTGCTCCCAAAACTGTCAAAAGTACTGTGCTAGCAATCACCAGAGCGGATATTAAAATGTGGTTATCTGAAAAGGAAAAGACAAAATATATATGTATACACACACACATATATATGGAAATCACTTGCTCATATTGCACTTAGAATACAAATATAGTTTTATCATGTAAATATTTGCCTATCTGGGGAAATAGGCAAATTGCACATTGATTAAATTACACACTTAAGATTTATGTTTCTTAGCTTGAACAGCTGTCATTTAAGATTTCAATTAAGTTTTACAATTTGCCACTCAGTCTACTGTAAGATCCTAAAATGGAAGTTACCCACACTTAGGATATACCGCAGTTCTGTTTGTCTCCTTTGGTTTTTACTTCCTCGTCTAAGACTTAATATATACTGTTCAAGACTAGTTGTCTTTAGATATTTGTTTATATTAATGAGGCTTATTTTTTTTTTCCTTTAAAGATTTCTCTTGGTAGAGAGCAAGCAAGCAGAAGCAGGGGGAGCAGCAGAGGGAGAAGCAGGCTCTCTGCTGAACAGGGAGGTGGACATGGGGCTCCCATCCCAGGACCCGGGGCTCATTACCTGAGCCGAAGACAGACACTTAATGACTGAGCCACCCAGGCACCTTATTTTAATTTTTAAAAATTTATCCAAGTAACTGTGTATTTCTGAAGCAATTATATACATACAGCTTTGCAGTTCTTGACTATTCAAAACCCTTTGTTATCTTTCGGTAAGTCCAGGGAAATTAACTCAGTTTGGGGGGGGGGCAAAGTACTTGTATTATATTTAGCACCCAAAAGCACATTATTTATTTTCTCTTTAAATTATTTTCAAAAATTATTTTCTCTTTTAAAAAATGATAAAATGTAAAGCATAGCAAGGAAAATCTGGCTAAAAGTTAACTTGCTAAAGTGAAGGAGAGTCACTGATAAAATACAGGCTGCTTTAAAAAAATTAATATAGGAGGGGACACCTGGGTGGCTCAGCAGTTGAGCGTCTGCCTTCAGCTCGGTGTGGTCCCAGATCCCTGGGATCAAGTCCCATGTCGGGCTCCCTGCATGGAGCCTGCTTCTCCCTCTGCCTGTGTCTCTGCCTTTCTGTGTCTCTCATGAATAACTCTTAAATAATAGGAGGAATTAGGTAAATGGCCATAGCTGAATCCTCTCCTTTTTGGTCCTAAAATAAAAGTTTGTAGTCACAATTTGTTAATGTGTGGGTTGTATTCTTATTGGAGACCTTTAATGAAAAAAAAAATGGTATGTATTAAGAAAGCCAGGCACATAGTAGTTAGATATATTTATGAAATATTTTTTAATGAATTTAGAGACCACTCTGGAATTTATAAAGAGCAAGTGTTGCCAAATCTTCCAGCTATTCCTGATAAAGGTTTTGAGAACCATCATGGCTTACCGACTGTTTCCTACATGTTTCAATCTTTATGAATCCTCCCTTCCCCCCCACCCAAGCACACATGTGCAGAGCTTAAAATTCATAGTTCAAGATTTGTAACAAGTACTGTGCTCCTGTCTACTACTCTCCCTGGATTCCCATTCCTGTTAACTTGTTTTTTTTGCCTCTATGCTTATAAATAACATGCTTACACAGCTTTTCTTGGTTCAGTTTTTTAATGCAAAATACATACAACAAAATGTAGCATTTTTTTTTTCAAAATGTAGCATCTTAACCAGTTTTGACAGTGTAGCATTTAAGTACATTCAGGTTGTGCTGTGTCACCATTTATCCATAGAATTCTTCATCTTTCAACCCTGAGACACTATATATTAATAACACCCCATTCATTCCTCCCCCCACTGATCCCCAAACATCATTCTATCCTATGAGGTCGACTACTCCAGTTACCTCATATAATTGGAATCCTAGTATTTGTCTTTTTGTGACCAGCTTATTTCACTTAGCACCTAATGTCTTCCAAGTTTGTGCATGTTGTAGGATGTGTCATTATTACCTTTTTAAGGCTAAATGTTCCATGGTGTATATGTACACCATGTCTTGCTTATCCATTCATCCTCTCATGGACCCTGGGTTGCAACTTCCACCTTGTGGTATTGTAAATAATGCTGCTCTGAACATGGGTGTACAAATCTCTGATAACCTCTTTTCACTTCTTTCGGGTCTATACCCAGAGGCGGAGTTGCTGGATCATAGTACTAATATTTTTAGTTTTTTGAGAACCTACCATACTGTTGTCTGTACTGCTTTACATTCCTACCAATAATGCACGAGTTCCATTTTCTCCATATCCTTGTCAACATTTGTTTTCTGTTTTGTTTTGGATGTTTTTGATAGCCAACCAAATGGCAATGAGGTGGTGCCTTCCTTGATTGAGGTGGGGTGTTTTGGTTGTTGTTTTGTTTTTTAAACTACACCTAACATGGTGCTGGAATGCCCTATCCCAATGATCGAGAGCCACATACACAGCCAGCCACATGCCCCTTTGCTATTTTTTTCTTTATTTCTAGAAGAGTGAGAACTTGGTTCTCCAATATCTACATGAACTCTCAAACACTCCTTTTCTCCTCTACCATCATAGTTACAGCAAGCCCCAAACTGAGAGAATATCCATGATACAACATGTGACAACTCCTATCCAGAATTTTTCATAACAAAAAGCTATCAGGTGGGAAGGCAACCCAGTTAGAAATAAAAAACCTGAAGAGGCATATCACAAAAGAACACATTGAAATGGTAAGTGTGTAGAAGTGCTCAACATTATTCATCAGGGAAATTAAAATGACATAACATCTGAATGGTTAGAATCAGGTTGACTATTATGGGATGGATGTCTAGAGCAAATGGAACTTGCATATACTGCCAGTAGGAATTAATTCACTGAAAAATTTGATGGTTCTACTAAAGAGAAACATATTAGCTACCCTATGACCTTTACAATTCTACTTTTTGGAATATATTCTAGGAGAATGACAAAATAGGTCCAAATGAGAATGTTCATAGGCACCTCTTACCATATTAGTACCAAACTAGACATGACCCAAATATACATAACAAAAGATTGGGCAAATGGTGATATATTTATAAACTACACAATAGTAGAATCAGTACAATACCTACAGAACATGGATAAATCTTTTTAAAAATCCTGAGTAAGAGAAGCCAGTAGAATTATATTTTTGTTGGCAAACAACTCTTACCTATGGTGATAGCATTCAATAGTGATAAAATTCAATAGTGGCTAACTCTGGGATAGGTGGTGGTAGGGCTACAGGACATGAGGGAAATTTTTGGTGTAACATGTTCTGTATCAATTTGACAGGTAGTTGGCCAGGTGTATACAGAAGAAACCATCAAACTATACACTTCAGGTTTGTACATCTTGTACCTCAAAGAGATTAAATGGGGCACCTGGGTGGCTCAGTTGGTTAAGTGTCTTGACTCTTGATTTCAGCTCAGGTTATGATTTCAGGGTTTTGAGATCAAGCCCCGTGTCTGGCTCTATGCTGACCATGGAGCCTGTTTAGGACTCGACCCTTCTCCTTCCCTTTGCCCCTCCCTCCCTTGTGTGTATGTGCATGTACTCTCTTTAAAGAAAAAAACAAAAATTATACATACAACCAATTGGCAAAAATATTTAAGTTTTGTAACATTTTTGGGAATGCAAAATGGTACAATTCTTGTTAGTATATCAAAGTTGTATATCCACTTTAAATCCATCTATAGAATCCAATCTTTAGATGTATTTGTGCAAGGTAGAGTCACTCATTGCAGCACTGCAATAGCAAATGTTTTGAAACAAGCTAAGAAGGGTCTGGAGCTGTTTAAATAACTATGCCTATCCATACAATGGAAGAATAATTCAGTTGTAAAAAAACGAAGTTCAATCTACAGGTAATGATACGGAGCAATATCTAGAGTATATTAGTGAATAAATGGGGCAAAATAAGTCCTATATCTCAGCTTGCTTATTTTGGCAAAAGAAACACAAGACTTTTAAAGAAGAAACTGAACTAGTGCCCAGTAAGGATATAGAATAGGGTAGATGGGAGCAAATGGGAAACAGACTTTTCAGCGTTTGCCTTATTATAATTTTGCTTTTTGAGCAATGTTAATATATTACCTGTTCTTTAAAAAAAAAGTACATTTAGTAAACCCTTATGACAGGTACTTCATGAAGTATAATTATAACTATGAGGCCAATTTTTTTTTAAATAAAAGACGGTAGAATCACTGCCTACAAAAAAGTCGGTAGGAAAAATTTTTTGGTGTTAAAAAATTCATACATAACTTGCAGTTATATTTAGAATGTCAAGTCTTATTACTGAGCCCTTTCTAAATTATTTAAAAAGTTATTCTTTATGTTATACAATTAATTTTCATGGGTCTTTAGTAATATTTCAACATTAGAATCTTAATATGTTTTTACTTGTGGAAAAAAATTAAAGACTATTGCTTACCTGATAGATACTTCTTTTCATATGGGACTAAAATACAAAAGAAAATAAAAATTAGAATTCAAGTACGCTTTATTCTAAGTTTGCCTTTCAACACTTTCAAAATAGTTAAAAACGAATCCCTTTAATTAATATAACGCATATTTCTGTTGCTTGGTCAATTTTGTTTTCCATCTTGAACAAGGTTTTTGTTTTTTAAAGATGTAGAGGTCTAACTGCATTAGCTTGGTTGGTGGAAAAGGATTAACAAAAGTGATAAGATGAGGAAAAGTATTTTGGTAGAGTCTAGAAAACAAACCTAGTAAAATTAAAGTATACACCTGTGACCTCATTAGAATGGATTTGTTCACTATTTCTGATGTTTCAAAGTTATAATTAAAAATTTGGGGGGATCCCTGGGTGGCGCAGCGGTTTGGCGCCTGCCTTTGGCCCAGGGCGCGATCCTGGAGACCCAGAATCGAATCCCACATCGGGCTCCCGGTGCATGGAGCCTGCTTCTCCCTCTGCCTGTGTCTCTGCCTTTCTCTCTCTCTCTCTCTGTGGCTATCATAAATAAATAAAAATAAAAATAAAAAGAAAGCTGTTACATTTCTAAAAAAAATTAAAAAAAATAAAAATTTGGTTTCTATAATGGTGTCTTGAGACTTAGTATATGAAAAACCAATTTTTAAAAAATAAATACTGGAAATTGAAATCTATTACAATAAAACAATGAGAAAATTAATATAATTACTATAAACTGTAGCTAAAACCCTGCTGAAGCAAAAAAAAAATGTAAAAAGGAAACATATTATTGGTTTACAGTAGAAGTAGGTGGGAAATACTAAAGAAGCAAAATGAAGTGGCTATCATGTATCAAGCATCCCAAAATCACATTTTGAAATTTTAAGTGTTTTTAATGAGAAAAACATTATTTCTAAAACTTAGGACAAATTTTGGTGTTTAACAAGAACATAAAAATATTGTGGGACATGGGACCCCTGCGTTGGTCAGCGGTTGGGCTCCTGCCTTTGGCTCAGGTTGTGATCCCAGGATCCAGGGATTGAGTCCCACATCAGGCTCCCTGCATGGAGCCTGCTTCTCCCTCTGCCTGTGTCTCTGCCTCTGTGTGTGTGTGTGTGTGTGTGTGTCTCATGAATAAATCTTTAAAAAAAAAAAAAGAGCCAATATTCTGTGACACAATAATTTTGTTCATTAGAAAAAAGCATTTTTTTATAAATTTATTTTTTATTGGTGTTCAATTTGCCAACATATAGAATAACACCCCGTGCTCATCCCATCAGAAAATAGCATTCTGATAGGGAAGAGGGGACAGCTGGAAGCCAGGGGTGCTGGGCTAATGGAGGGGCAGGGGCAGGTTCAGGGCTCACCCCTTGGGAGAGAGGGAAAAAAAAGCATTCTGATGGGTCAGAAGAAAAATTACACATTAATTCAGAATCATTTATAAACTACACAATGCATTTCTTCATTTGCCTAAACAAAGGATGTTAGTACCCGTACAAGGTCAAATTCTTTGTAAATCTTAGAATTCTGGAGTCAGACATAAGTATTTGTCACCATTTCTGTTTAATCATATGCAAAGAGGCTATGATAAATACTTCAAACAACGGAAAATTTTAACTTCTTTCAGGCTCTAAATATAAGCAGGATAAAAGTATGCCTGGTTCACATGATCTGGTCCTACCTCTGAAATGTAAGAGAATTACACTGGACTCTGAGACTTGGGAGCAAACCATCCTACTGTGTTCTGAAGTCTGTCTTACTCCCTCTAATTTACTAAGGCACACTTGTTGTCTCAAAGAAAATCTTAATACCAGCTCTACTTTCCGCACCCCTCCAGGAATGGAAAAATGTCTGTTCAGTTATACTTACTAGCTGCTTTACAAAGGGTTCCTTCCACAGAAGAAATTTCACAGTTTCCTTTTTTCCATTCCCCTGTCTTAGTGTGCAGAAAGGCACAGGTGTCCACCAAATCCTCACCATCTTCTCGGTCTGTCCACTTATCAAATGTCATATTGGACTTATCAAACCACTTGAAACTTTCATCTGTCAGTTAAGAATATTTTCATCATTATGACAGTTTTAAACTGTTACAGCCATAGAAAAGGGTCTAGGGTTAAAGGGAAATTACTAAGGTATGTTTGGTCAAACTTTTGGTTGTAGTATTTAAATTAGAACAAGCAAATCAAAGGTATTGGTTCAAGGAGCACCTTGGTGACTTGGTCAGTTAAGTGTCTGCCTTCAGTTCAGGTCATGATCCGAAGGTCCTGGAACTGAGCTCCCTGCTCAGCATCAGGCTCCCTGCTCAGCATCGAGTCATTCTCCCACCCCCCCCACCCCCACCCCACAAGTGCCCCCTGCCATCTCTTTCTCACAAATAAATAAAACCTTAAAAAAAAATGTATTGGTTCAAGAAGGTTCCACAGATGGGGCACGTGGGTGGCTCAGTTGGTTTAGTATCTGACTCGATTTCCGTTCAGGTCATGACCTCAGGGTTGTGAGATCAAGCCCTGCCTTGGGCTCTGCACTGGGGTTGGAGCCTGCTGGGAATATTTTCTTTCTCTCCTTTCTCTCTCTCTCTCTCTCTCTCTCTCTCTCTCTCTCTCTCTCTCCCCTTCTCCTCCTCCCCTCCCCCCTCTCTAAAAACAAAAAAAAAAAAAACAAAAAAAAACGAAGAGGAAAATAATATAGTAACATTTTCACTGGGAAATAGCCAAGAGAATTAAAATATTAATAGTAAACTTAGTTCCATTTTATTATGTAGGTATTATGAGCCTAAAAACCTGTTTTAATCCAAAAAAGAGAATCAACTTTGACTCTTCTGTGTGCAACACACTGAGCTGCTCAGGGAAAAGCCACTGTCAGGTCATGGGCGCACACTGAAAATACAACACCCAGATAGACACCACAGGGAACACCAACTTGAATGAGAGAACTGAAGAATCTCAAAGTCATCAATTTTATTACCATTTTTTTTAAAGTGATTTCCTACAAGGTAAATATCACTTACCATCTGTGTCAAAAAACATGCCTAGGAGGATATCATCTGGGCCCTTCCATTGCTTTTTCAAAGTATCCAGTATAAAAGTATTTTCTTCTTCATTATGTATGCTTACCATGTCTGCTCCTGGAATTATTTTTAGGTATAAAAAGTTAACATGTTCCCAAAATCAGTGAAAAATCACATGAGGTATATATAGAGATTATGCATTATTATAATACACTTACAGTAACATTACACATTTATACCTTTTTAAAATTTAGCTTGAGAATATGCACATTTCTGAAAATATATTCATGAGAAAAGTGAAATAATGGGATAAATTGGGCATTTTATACTCATTTCATTCACATAGAGTTGGTGACTTATAGAAAAAGGGACAAAACCGTGGGAGGCTTGTTCAATAAACATTTTTCTGCATCTTTCAACTTTACTTTTCCCCACTACCTCTTCCTCTAGTAATCATGGTTTCTCCCAGGCGCATCTCCCTGGTGTAAGGAGGAAAAGCTCTGACCGTACCCCGGAGAACTGAAGAGTACCAGGGCGACCTACCAGAGCAGCTCCAAGGCCTGGTGCAGTTCCAGCAGCAAGCAGTGTGGACTCTGCCTTCATGTGCCTGCTGCCGAAGCCTATGCCTTCCCATACTTTTCTTCGTGGTCCTTAGAAAGCCCTGGTTTTGGGAAATGGACTGCTAAGGAGGTCCTCATTCTCACTGGATAGTTGATCTTTCCTGGGACTCCTCCACGTAATTCAAGAGTAAAGAGCAGCAGCCATCTATATTTTATGTCTCACATACGTTAGCTGTTGTCCTTACAATCTGTAAGCTACAGGTACACATCAGCACCCTATAAATAACAGGAGTAACTTTACTTTTCCAAGGGACATTTAACCCTGTTTCTTAGCCTAAACAAAGATTCTCTTGAAATTAAAAAACATTCCACTGTCTTAATTGAATAATACTTAGAAAATGCTAGTGGAGTTAGCTTCTTTCATGATATTCTATTTTTTTCAAGTGAAAACAGTTGAATAAATGATGACACCAAGGCTTGTACTCCTAGCAACCAGAAATCTGGTGGGGAGGGTTCACCTAATCCTGAGGAACGTAGAGAAGTAATGTAACAGCCTTCCAGCCATACTCAGGTAATTAAGGAATAGAGCATATAACCTTGGGGGTCCTGGGTGACTCAATCGATTGAGCAACAGACTCTTGATTTCAGCTCTGGTCATGATCTCAGGGTCCTGGGGCTGAGCCCTGCATCAAGCTGTGTGTCAGACTCTCCGCTTGGCACAGGGTCTGCTTATCCCTCTCTCTCTGTTCTATCTCCCTCCCCCTTGCACATGTTCTCTCTCTCGCTCTCGCTCTCAAATAAAATCTTTTAAAAAAAAGTTCCTAAGAAACATGTGACTTTCCAGCCTCAGTAATTTAAAAGTAACAAATTTTCCTATTTTCCAGTGAGTATTTTTAAACATATTTTAAACTTTGCAGACTCTCTGTACTACAACTAATATAACTACACACGGAAATGAGGAAGTCTTGCCTCCTATTAAATTACATCCCTCCAAAATTAGCTTGACTTAACAAAGTCTCCTGAAAATGTCAGAATATTGTCTTAGTTCAGTGGTTCTCCACCTGGAACAAGCATCAGAAGCACCTGGAGGACTTGCTAAAACAATAGGACACATCCAGAGTTTCAGATTCAGCCAGAGTGAGATGAGGCCTGAGAATTTATATTCCTAACAGGTTCCCAGGTGAAACTATGCTGTTCCAGGGACCACACTTTGAGAATTATAGGAGGCTTACATCACAGGCTACTATATTTATGACATCACACTAAAATTGATAGTAGTTTCATAATAAGTTAACAGTTAAAGGGGAAGACAGAGCTCCTGGGCAGCCCGGGTGGCTCAGCAGTTAAGCGTCTGCCTTCAGCCCAGGGTGTGATCCTGGAGACCTGGGATCAAGTCCCACGTTGGGCTCCCTGCGTGGAGCCTGCTTCTCCCTCTGCCTGTGTCTCTGCCCCTCTCTCTATGTATGTCTCTCATGAATGAATAAATAAAATCTTTTTAAAAAAAGAGCTCCTATTACTACTGATATGGTAAAAAAAAAAAAAAGGAAAGTTGTATTAGGTGATCACTACCAATTTCTAAAAGAGGCTTAGAGAAAACAATTTTAACCATAGGGAAAAAGAAAATTAGGGACAAAAAAATCTCCCCCAAACCATACTGTATTGTTAAAGAAGAAAATCCCAAACTGGGCAGACTAAAGCTCCATTATAAATAAAGCAGCAGACACCTTAATAGAAGAAAAAATTGGTTTCAAGATTGTAAAAAAGACAATTTACCCTCCCAGAAGCAAATATAAACACAAGAAATGTGTGAAAATGCAATCTCACTAGTAAAGTAATGAAAATTAAAAATAAGCAGACTTCCAGGCTTACAGATTAAACAGTCTGGCCTTAGGTATAACAACGTAGGAACTCATACGTTGGTTAGGTGGAGTAAAAATTAGTACAGCATTTTTGGAAACTATTTGGCAAGATGTGTCAAAAGCCCTAAAAACACATTATTTGACCCACCAATCGTTAACAATTATGCTAAAACAGTCATAGGCTCTGTGCTCAACCATTAATGTTCATCACACATGTATGACTGTGAAAGACTGAAAATAATAGCCAATATTAGAAGATTAACTAAATCAATTATGGGATTTCTATATATGAGATTAATGTAGTTAGTACAAAATAAACATTGTATTTTTACTGCCATAGACATTTTTAAAGGAAGATGCAGATTACGGGGCAGTTTCCCAAATATCCCTTTTCTTACATATTAAAAAAAAAGAGCAAGCATTTATTATTATAAATTTGCCTGGGATGGGGGAGAAGTCTAGGATACTTACCAAAATATTAACAGTCCTTATATTTCCTTAGGACAATGCAATTTAGAGTGACTTTGTTTTATTTTATTTTTAAGATTTATTCATTCATTTTAGAGGGAGAGAGACAGTACATTGGGGTGGGGCAGAGGAACAGAAAGAGAGAGAGACTCTCCAGCAGACTCCCTGCTGAGTGAGGAGCCTGATGTGCGGTGCTTGATCCCACAACCCCAAGAGCATAACCTGAGCCAAAATCAAGAGCTGGATGCCCAACAACTGAGCCAAGTGGGCACCCCTGATTTTGTTTTATTTTTAAAATATCTGCATATGTTTTTCTCATTTTGTATAGTGATCTGCATAAATCATGCTATTACCAAAAATCTTCAAAAGAAAAAAAAAGACTGACCTTTAAAATACTTAATACTTTAATCCAAAGTTAGGATTCAATGAGGTTCCCAGAGTCATTTATCAATTTTCAAAAACTCTATGATGGTTTTCTTATCATTTCCAGCTGCCTGTCTGTTAAATGTCATAGAGACTTTTAAGTTGTTTTACCCTGATACTTAGTTGTACTTACTTGTGAAATGTGACCGAAATGCCACTCTAGAAAAATTCTCAAGGGAAGTATTTAACTAGGTTATAGTTTAGGCTTAAGTGTTTAGAGATGAGTTTTTCATCCTTTTTTTTGACCTTGTGGCAGCCAATGGAACTTTAACGATTCTTAACACTGTAACCTAATTAAATACTGTATAAACTTAAATTACTGTGTCAGGCAAATAAGACACACTTTCATTTTCTTTAACAAATGACAGCATAAGTCCCTGAAGAATGCATGTGCTCAAGAAAATTTTTTTTACAATGCATTACCAGTGACAGTACCTGCTGAGATGTAATTTGGGTGTTTAATTCTTTTTATAGCTAGTGACATAGTTCACAAATCACAAAAAGGAAAGACTGAAAATATTTATTTTTTCTATTAAAATGATAACATAAATTAAAGGTAAATGTTGCAAAATAAAAATTTTAGCCTCTCACAATTATTTTCCTTATAATGAATAATAAAAAGAGCGATATCAAGTAAATTAGCACAAATCCCTGGAAATATTTCTAAATATAGCTCTCTGCAGCCCAAAAGGTAACAAGCATTTGTTTTCTAAACCTCTAATGATACGCTTAAGACAGGGTTTTATACAGCTGGGAAGATTTTACAAATCCAAATGTATATTCTAGTATTCCTTCTGCTTTTTCTTCTTCATACATAGCAAACCTTGAATTCATGTCCATCTACTATTCTAAACCAAAACACTACTACTCTAGTCAAAAATAAATACCAGCTTTAATTTTAGCTAATTTTCTGATTCATCAATAAACTGAATATTTCCAGAGTAGAAACAAATATGGAGGAGTATCAAATAAATGGTAAGGTTAACAGAAATGTATGAGAAAGCTTAAAAAATGTAAACATTAAAACAAACTGAATTGATAAATTTTTAACTGGGGAAAAGATATATATTTTTTTATTTAGACACAAGATAAATTTTAGAAGCAAATTTGTACATAACATTTTAAAATTCTAAATGGCTACCCTCCTTGAACAAGCAGAGTTAATGGACTCTGAAACAAGCGATCAAGGTAAAGTCACAACGTTGCTAGGTGTTTTCAATTTTGTTTTGTTTGCTAAAGGAAAATGGCAAATACAAAAACAAAACCAAAAACTCTCACTACACTTGAATTGTAGAAGTCAGTCAGTCAACAAGTATTAATTATGCGTCTGTATTGGAAGCAGTTGCTTAACTGCTAAAGATAAATATTAAAGCTGGACAGTGAACTCTGACCTGTGGTTCAGGAACATGTCTCTCCTTAGTTCTCAGCCTCCAATATAATTTCTGTTATTGAAATTCATATCTAAGTATACCTAACATAAGTGATTTCTTCAAAAAGAGATGGAAAATTGTTATGGGAAAACCTCATTCAAAAAATTCCTATTATTCACAGCAGTGGATCATGTGACTCTTGATCTCTGGGTTGTGAGTTCGAGCTCCATGTTAAGTGTAGAAGTTACTTAAAAATAAAATCTTCAAAACAAAAATTCCTTTTATTCAGTTTCTGTAAAATGAAACCATACTGGTAGGTTGGAAATTTTCTCTGGTTCTCAAAGAGCTAATGTTCAACACCATTTGGCAGGTGTATGAGTTTCTCAAAGGGAATAGTATGTATTGAGTACTATATGGCACTTCATAGGATTAAAAATGTCTATACCTACATTCAGTACTTCTATAATAAATGAGTATGATTTGATATTCTACCAAAATGTCATATTGGTTGGCTGTCAGAAAATTGTGGGGTTTTGTAGGTAAAGGGCATTTCTAAATGCTGGAGTTATTAATAAACCTAAGATCAAATTTAATGAAATGATCAAGAGATTTTAGATCTCATGGAGTAGTAAAAAGCATTTCTAAAGAATCAAGGACTCTTATATCACCATATCATAGCTATCTTGGTTGAAAAAAGATGCTATTTAGGGGTGCCTGGGTGGCTCAGTGTTGAGCATCTGCCTTTGGCTCAGGGTGTGATCCCAGGGTCCTGGGATCGAGTCCCACGCTGGGCTCCCCGCAGGGAGCCTGCTTTTCCCTCTGCCTGTGTCTTTGCCCCTCTGTGTCTCTCATGAATAAATAAAATCTTAAAAAAATATATGCTATTTAACCTCCTAGTTTCAGTTTGAACTTATGAGAATCACAATTAGAGGCTTCACAACAAGGATGCACTTGGGGCCCAACAGCCAAATATGTAAAGAGCACCCAGGCATAACTTTTTATTTTTTATTTTTTTTATTTTATATTTTTTTAAATTTTTATGATAGTCACACACACAGAGAGAGAGAGGCAGAGACATAGGCAGAGGGAGAAGCAGGCTCCATGCACCGGGAGCCCGACGTGGGATTCGATCCCGGGTCTCCAGGATCGCGCCCTGGGCCAAAGGCAGGCGCCAAACCGCTGCGCCACCCAGGGATCCCAGGCATACCTTTTTAAAAATGACATTTTTATTTGAAATATTTCACAATGAGAAGTGGTATTTTCCAGAAAACATTGAACCTATCTGCTGGCAAAGAGCCTTCTTCCCTAACGTCTCTACCACAGGTTCATTTCACGGTCCCATCTGACTTGTGCCCACACCAAGTACCCGAAAGGGCTCCTTCAGGGCAGAACAGTGATCACAAACTATGGTCCTAAAATCTGATCCAACTGTGTTTGAATCCTGGCTCTGCCAGTTATTACCGGCATGACCTTGAACAAATAACTGAACTTAATTTCTCCCCTTGATAAAAGGAAGCTAATGAGAAACTACCTGATGGGTATGTTAGGAGAGCTATACCCGGGCAAAGGATCCGAAGTGCCTGCACAGTGCTCCGCACAGATGTGCACGTGACAAAGGTCCTGCTGTGGCTAAGTTCCTGGCAGACAGCTCTGGACAGGGGGGCCGAACAGCAGTCTTCCAACTCAGAGGTTAAATATATACCCAAGTCCAGTGTGCAGCTTGAGTGTTATACAGACTGTTCACTTATTACAAGGACCCAGGTGAAAGTGAAATATGACAAAACCATTTTTTAAAGAAATTAGTGAACACCATTTATGACTGTGGAAAAAAAAAAAAAAGAGGAAGTTCCTTACCATGGTCAGTACATTGACTTCTGACGTCCTCTATGCTTTCTAGGTTGACGGCTTCTTTAAGAAAAATGTAACAACTGTCTTGAAACCTAACCCAGGTAGATGAAGGACAGTCTGTATGGGAAAAGAGAAACATTATTAAACAACTTGGGAAGAATTCCATGAATTCCGAAAGATCAAGAATATTACATTTTCATAGAAAAAAAAAGAATTTAGCCACAAAGCTCTCTGTTAAAATAAGACATTGACTAGTGTGATAATAATTTCTTTTTCTCCATTCTACATATGGGAAAGGGGCGATGTGCCAGTGATTCTCTTCTGATTTGACAGAGCAAAGTTACAAGTCTTTAGGGTGTTTAGGAACTCAGACTTGTAAATTACAGCATTATTACCAAGGCAACTGACTATCAAGAAGGACAACCAATCAGAATTACAAGGTTTTTGAAGGTTATCTTTGCAGTATATAGAAACAATTTCAAAAGTCTCAAGAGTTTTACAAGATCTTTTTTAAAAATTATACTTCCAAGAGCAGAGACAAGTTGCTAGATTATGAATATTCAGACAAGTTTTCATGTTACACAGGAAAACAAGATTGATGTTCTTATGAATGTTCTTAGTTCAACACCTCATCAAAGCAGATTCCTTGAACTAGTTCTATGAAACAGAACCGTATCTCCTCCTCTGTTGCTGTAGAGTGGAATGGCACCTCCTTCGCCTCTATCTTGATCTGGGTTTTTTTTGTTGTTGTTCATTATAAATGTGCCTATTTTTAAGCCTTGGCTCTGGAATTTCGTTAGCATGAATTTATTTTCAAAAGTAAGCCTTTAAGAACTTGATTTCACTGGCAAGAATGGAGAAAAGGAGGATTTTACTGAATTTCACTGAATAAAAAAAGCATTGATCTTCCCTATGCTCTTAGGTCTATGTAGGGAAAATTACCATGATATTTTTTTACCTAGTTTTATTTTAAGTTCTATATGTGTTGTAACATTAATGTAAACAAGTAAAAGAATGCCTTACTAAAAAGATGAGAACTTAACCATCAGCTATGTTCATCTAAACTCAACAAGCTTGACTTTACTCAACTCAGAATATGGCGGAGACCATTACTTGTCTCCTACTTGAACACGGCACTTTTTTTTTCCTGTTGCATTTATTATTATTTTAAAATTTTTTGTGGGTTCTTTTTTTACGTTGGCTTCTTATACAGCACAGAATACATGTCCACCAAGCTATTTTCCTGTCTTCCAGTAACTTCTGGATAATGAGCTCTGGGCTGAAGTGAAAGGTGCAGAACTGCCTTTAAAAGGGAGTATGCTCCCTGGATCATGCTTCCCCTTTCCCACTGGCGAAAATGTCATTAGCCATCCTTAATCATGTCAATAATGGAAACAGCCTAGGAACAGCAAAGCTACAAGACAGAAGGATCCTACATGGAGCCATCATATCACACTCAGATTGCTATGAGAGAAAAAAAAAAAACTACTATTTTGTTAAGCCATTGCTAATTCAGGTCATTGTTGCAGCAGCTGGGTCAGTAACCTAGATAATACCACAGACTAATTAAAATTGTCCCCATGATGAGACCCACATTGTTCCCCACCTCATACTGCTACATTTAGTAGTTAAATCATCCAAGATGGGGGCACCTGTCCAGCTGGTTCAGGCAGTGGAATATGCGACTCTTGATTCTAGGATTGTAAGTTTTGAGCCCCACATTCTGTGAAGAGAATCCTTAAAAATAAAATCTTTAAAAAAATTAAAAATCATTCAATATGTACTAGCACGAGAGTAGGTGTCTCAAGATACCATTTATTTTGTATACAGGTTTGTTTTTTTTCCTTCCTGCTGTTCTATAAGTACTGGGCATTACACATGTGACTACCTTGGCTTGAATTCTGGTAGTAATCTAGAACTTTCTCATTGTGGTGGCTTAAAGGTAGTTGGTAGGGGTATTTTAGCAACATTTACTTAATGAAACATTGAGTTAGAAAAAAAAAACCTGGCTGTAAAATTATATGTGCAGTATGATCCCAGGAGTTAAAAAGCAAGAAGTCCAGAAATGTTTAGGAATTGGAGAAGCCAGACACACCTATAGGGGCAGGGCTTAGGGAGGGCCTGAAAACAGGGTGCACAGTTGAAGGTCTGTAAGTGAAACAGCTAGGCCCTTAGATCCTCTGTCTGAGAAACAGTACTCAGCCATCCTACTTTCACTATATACTGCTGCTGCCTTCTTTGAAAGTCTGGTCCTTACTCAGAGGAACTCTTTTAGATTTAACATATAAGTGAAATCATATGGTATTTGCCTTTCTCTGTCTGACTTAGTTCACTTAGCAAAATATCCCCTTGGTCCATCCATGTTGTCACAAATGGCAAGATTTCATTACTTTATGGCTGAGTGATATCCCACTGGTGATGTATAGATCTTTATTCATCTGTGGATGGACACGGGTTGCTGCTGTATCCCAACTACTGTAAATAACGCTACAGTAAACATAGGGATGCATATATCTTTTCTGATTATCTTTTGTTTTGGGGGGTAAATACCCAATACTGGAATTACTAGATCATATGGTAATTCTATTTTTAATTTTTTGAGGAACCTCCACAAACTGTTTTCTACAGAGGCTGCACAAATTTGCATTCCCACCAACAGTGCATGAGAGCTCCTTTTTTTCCACATTCTCACCAACACCTGTTATTCTCAAAGTAGTTTTAAATTTCCTCTTTGATTTCTTCATTGACTATGGGTCGTTTAGTAACATGTTGTTTAGCCTCCACATGTTTGCAGGGTTGGGGTTTTTTCCCCCATTTTTTTTCTTGTACTTCATATCTAGTTTCATACTAGATATGTTATTGGAAGAGACACTTGATCCGATCTCAAGCTTTTTAAATTTACTGACACTTGTTTTGTGGCCTAACAGGTGATCTATCCTGGAGAAAGTTCCATGTGAACCTGGAAAGAATAGATCTTCTGCTGCTTTGTTCTTTATGTGTCTACTAATTCCATCTGGTCTGATGTGGTAAGGCCACTGTTTCCTTATTTTCTGTCTGGATGATCTGTCCATTGATGAACGTGGGGTGTTAAAATTCCCTATTATTGTATTACTGTCAGTTTCTCCCCTTAGGTCTGTTAATATTTGCTTTATATATCTGGGCGCTCCTATGTTGGGTGTACAGATATCCATAATTGCTAGATTCTCTTGCTGGGCTGATCTCTTTATCATTATCTTCTTTGTCTCTTGTTATAGTCTCTCTTTTAAAGTCTGTTTTGTCTGATATTATTACTACCCAACTTTCCTTCCATTTCCATTTGCATGTAATATTTTTTTCCATTCTTTCACTTTTGGTCTACATGTGTCTTTAGGTCTGAATCGAGTCTTGAAGGCAGCATATAAATGGGTCTTGGTTTTTTTTTTTTTTTTTTTTTTTTTAAGGAAGCTCTATGTCTGGTATGGGGCTTGAACTCACAGCCCCAAGAACAAGAGTCGCATGCTCTACCAACTAAGCTAGCACGGCAGGTGCCCTAGTTATTTTATTTTATTTATTTTATTTTATTTTATTTTATTTATTTTATTTTATTCTTTTTAATCTATTCAGTCACCCTATATCTTTTGATTGGAGCATTTTGAACATTTACATTTAAATAATTATTGATAGCTATGTACTTAGCACCAGTTCTTTCATTGCTTTATGGTTGCTTTCATCGTTTTCCCAGTTCCTTTCTTCTCTTGCTCCTTCCCTTGTGATACACTTTTTTTAATGTTATGTTTGGATTCTTTTCTCTTTACTTTTTTTTGTGTACCTATTACAGGTTTTTGGTTTGTGGTTACCATGAGGTTCCTATAGAAGCATCCTATGTACATAGCAGTCTATTTTAAGTTGATGGTCGCTTAAGCCTTTTTTTTTTAAGATTTTATGTATTCATGAGAGAGAGAGAGAGAGAGAGAGAGAGAGAGAGAGAGAGGCAGAGAGAGAAGCAGGCTCCACACAAGGAGCCCGGTGTGGGACTGGATCCGGGGCCTCCAGGATCACGACCTGGGCTGAAGGCGGCGCTAAACCGCTGAGCTACCCGGGCTGCCCTCAACATGTTCATGTTAGACTTTTCACCATGTCCCAAATATTTCCTTTGTTTTTTTTCCCATATTTTAATACTCTTGGCTCGCCATACTATAATCTTGTTCTTTCTGGTTTATTATCTACTCTTTAGGTTTTAAGAATCTGCTGTTATACCCGTCTATTGAGTTCATAATGTCAGTGGTTTTTTTTTTTTTTTCAGTTATAGAATTTCAATTCATTTATATTTATATAGTTTCTGGACCTCTGGTGAAATTCTCAGTTTTATTATCTATATTCTTGAACTTACTATAGTTATTTTAAAGTCCATTTCTGATAACTCTAATTTCTGGGTTGCCTTTTGGTCTATTTTTGTTTCTTTTCTCCTTTGACCTATTTCTTATAATGCTTGGTACGTGGGTTTTTGTTTTTCTTTGTTTGTTTGAAGTCAATTAAGACACTGTGCAGGAAAAAAAATGTAGAGGCCCTAGATGATGTTACTCTCCCCCTAGAGGGAACTCTGGCAGGCAATTTGGGTATTGACAGTTACATTAATACAGTCAAGGATTGAGTTGACCTGGGGAGGTGTAGCCTTTGGGAGGCTCAATATCCATGAATCCCAATAAAAAGCCTGGGAACTAAGCAGAGCCTCTCTTCTTTGGCCAGTTAAAACTCAAATTTTGCCTCCTTAACACCCTGAGACTGCCCAAAACTGCAGATTTTGGCAACTCTCATAAAGGGAAAAGTTAATACACACAATGTTGGGCTCATCTCAGCAGCTCTCTGGTGCCTGCAAATATGGTTTTAATGGAATTTCATCTAGAGTTTCTAGTTGTTCTTCTCACCCAGTGATAGCCCGAAGCAGAGTTCCCTTTCTCACACCTTTGAATAGGTTATTAACAACTGTTCTTCCATCTACCCATCACCCATCTAGCGAACATTTACTGAGCAACTCCTATATGTCAGGTATAATGGTCAGTGCCAAGGAGTAAAGAGAAAGGGATATAAAGAGGAATGAGTCCTTCATGTAAAGTGCTCAGTCTGATGGGAGAGTCAGA